GGTGGTGGTGGTGGTCGTCGTCGGTCTTGTTCTGTTTTTCCGGTTTGGCAGGACCGACTCCTGCAACATGGTATAAAGTACATCGCGCCATGCAGAGTTCTTCGGGTAGCCAATGCCTGGAACAACTATGACATCAGTGTGCACCGCCTAAATGTGAAACGAACCTCAGTTTCGGCAGAACCTCACGGTTCCCGAATCATCGCAAACAATCGGAGAGATGGTTCAAGGAGTTGCGTCTTGGGGAAAAATCCAGGGACCGCCCCTGTGAATGTCAGCCAATGCCAATGCATCCTTCCCTGACTTGCTCAGGACGACATGCTGGCCACATGAGCGCTTGAGAGACATGGCGAGTTCAACTGTTCTACTTCTCGACACATTGACACAAAGGCCCCCTTCCCTGCGGGCAACAAAATTGCTGTTTGTGGCGGGCAGATATGTTTCCTCGGAGTTCACCGGCGCAGTAGCTTCAGGAACTGGGCCTTGGACCGAGCAAACTGAGCCAAACGATTCCACTGAGTGTCACTACTCGCATGTGGAAATGCGTTGAGGATCTCTAGCAAGTATGCGAGAGCACAAGCCAACACACTCTTGCATCAGCGATGCTTTCTTCGGAAATCGTAGCCTGCAGCGTCCAACCCAAAAGTTTCATAGCCTCCTGCCAAGCAGAAACCCTCGGCTGAAAAGTGTGTCTCTTGCAACGGATGCTTGTGAAAGGCCCTCTTGAGCACTGGCTCCAAATCCACGGCTCAAGCTTCGATCCTTCGGAATGTGGGAGGACTGCACAATGCATCGGTTGCCAGCCCACTTCTTCCACGAGCTGTAGCCCACCGCCACCAGGCCGCTGCACTTCTTATTCGAAAAGGGGGCGATGTTTTCCTGGCTCACTATACAATGAGAAGAAAGATGAAAAAAGTAATCTAACCGTCCCAGATTTCCCCAGTTACAGTGATAGGTGCATTATGCCGTGTTGTTGTCAACATCTGGAGGTCTAACAGCCATACATTGTAAACAGGACGCACTACGGTTCTAGTACTGTCACTGTTTGACTGGCTTTCTGAGCTGGGTCCTGGAGTCTTTGAAGGACGGTGCCATCCAACGCGTGCCTTCAGGGTGGCATTGGGAGTAAAACAATGCACTCGTTCATGCACAGTGCTCCCGTTGCACCTTATTGAGGGGTACTCAGAATTACCAGTCGTCAAATTGGGTCCTATGTGAACCTGTTTCGTCGTAGCAGTGATGCAGAGCTGGCATCAAGCAAACAGTTGGGACACTCACTGACCGTGCTGCTCTGCAAGGCAAGGTGCCGCTGTTCTACCAGGAAGGCATGCTGGTCACCCTCCTTCAGGTCCGTGAGAGGATTCTGAGATTAACAATCGTTTCATCAGGAAGTGGCAGAAAGCTTCTCAACAAATCGGCGTAACTTTGTGAAGGAAATCTTGATCGTGACCGTCAGGCAAAACCCGCATGACATCCAAACTGTACGACCCAGGACGAGAGCTCCTTCATGCAACATCGATATGTCCGGCCGCTAGGCAGGGTGACAGACTTCTCCTGCTTCATCAAGACCTGACCATGTGATTGGACCAACACATCCCTTCGATCCAGCCATGCTGAGGAAGTCGGTGTCATACTCACTCTCACTGCGGCCCTTCAGGCCTCTGACCCCTTGTACAACTCACCTTCATCCGGCTGCCGAAATATTCACCGCCACTCTAATCGCACACACTTGCGGGCTAGAGCGCTGTTTCCCCTCCTGCAACCGGCTGAAACAATGAACTGGAAATTCGATCTTTGGTACGGGAAGATGGAGGCCTTATCGTGCCAGGAGGCAGGAGAATCATGTACCCATACAGCCCTGAACAACACTAAGTCATGTTTGTCTGCACAGCACGCTTGAACTACGGACTTGCTGCCCCAAACGAAAAAGGAACGAGAAAACAGTCTGTGGCTGCGGGAAGCTCTGGCTAATCCGCCCGCTAGATCACATGCCAAACGTGTCTGCCCATGCCATGTTACTTCGAGCCAGGAGACATCGGACACGTCCACCAACTGACCCACGACCGGGACGACTTCCGCAGGAAAATAGTACTGCAAGAACGCATCGGGCATGCCACTCTTGGCCACCACGCATCGGGCATTCTCCTTGTTTGTCTGTGGCGTACAGACGAAGTTGACGCTGGGTGGAGAAGCGGCAGTCTGGATCCCGTGTACATGCGCGTCTCTGTGTGTGTGTGCGAACCGATTTTGATGGGATCAGCATAGAATTCCAATGGCCGTGGCCCAAAACAAAGCAAGCTAAAGCGCTACTCAATGGAGACATCAAGCAAACGTTCCGGAACTTGCCGGCTCGACCCGGAATTGATTTTCCAGGCTTGCATTGCTGCCCTAGGGCCCTAGCAGTTTAGAAACAACTTGGTAACTTGGAAACACAGTAGCTCAAATCCTAAGCCAGTGCAGCCAGGTTCGGGATGCTCTTCATACCTTGTGAAGGATTTGAAGCGGAGGCCGACCAAGCCCCGGCAACCCTGGCTGGGCAGGCACGGATTCAAGCGAAGAGGTCCGACTACGTTCGTTTGCAACGTTGAGCACCTGGCTTCCATGCCAGCAGGCCGACTTTTTCAGGTGCTCAGTCAGGGAGTTGGCAGAGGCTTCAGTTACAGGACCTGAGACTACCAGGTTCGCCACGCAGGCAAAACCTCCAGAAATTGAAGATGCGGCTGCACATCTCGTTCTAGGTGAAATTATATGCTGGTACAACTGCTCAGTCGATACACTACTCAGGCGGTGCTATGCAGCATGACCCGAGCGAATATGCGTAGCTACTACAACATATTGTGTGCATGCACATACTTACATACGTATGCTCGCCGACACAAATGTAGACCGGTAAATACGCATGAATCTGCCTGAACCGCGCGGATGGGAACCTGCGAGCGCCTGTCAACATTGAACCGCTAGACTCTCCGCCTCCCCGCTCCTGCTGCCCTCTAGACTGATGGGCATCTGTGCAGCAATCGATTGCTGGAGTCTCTGCCATCACCATCGGACAACAGTAAATGCCGACATAATACAGCAATCGAGCAAATACAACTCTTTGTGGTCTTCTCTGTGTCTCTCGATGTCCCTCTGCCTGATTTCGTGGTCGTTTCTTTCTGTTTTGAATTTGGCTTCTGGATTCGTTTGGTGTCGTTGCTGCTGCTTGTTCGCTCTGCCTGCTGCTTGGCTTGCTGCAGTACGCGCGGCATGAAGCCCCAGGCCTGCCTGCAACAGCTCGTGCGTCTTTTCGCTTGCCTTGCACAGAGCTCAACCAGACTCACAACCGGTTCAACCGTCCACTGTGGAACCAAGCTTCATACATGAAGCATAACAGGTCACCGTACACAGCTGCAGTTTAGCACGAAGGTGCAGAAGCTTGACCTTAAGTTCAAGAGTACTTCGTAATTACAGTAGCAAGCACGAGATGGCGGTGAACAGGAATCCGGATTCGATTGAAAAGAGCTGTCAGCCGAAACAGATCTTCACCCTAATCGCCTCGTCCACAAGCACGCCCAGGTCATTTGCTCGACTCTTGCAGCCTGAGATGAGCCAGAATGCAGTCGCCAACGCCACGGCGGAAACATCATGTAACGAGTGAATTCCGCGAAGCTTCTTGGTGACAGTGGTGGGAACAGGAGTCCATGAAGCTTCGGAAAGGGATCTTCAAAGGCCCACATGATCACTGCTCCTGAAATAGGCTCAACTTCGGACTCCCAGCTGAGCAAATTCCAACGAGGCCCAGTAGCATTTGAAGATGGAGCCACCGTGTGGCAAAGACACACGAGTTTTACCTTTGAAAAGTCTTGTGACGTCCATCATGCTGTCGACCACGTACTGCTTGGGAATGGCAGCGACCTGCAGCAACTCTGAGCGATGAAGCCACCAATGCACTCTCTGTGGCAGGGCGCCATAGCTGCAACAATCTGCATCCTGGGTGCGTGAGACTCGTCCGAGCCCATGGATCGCAAGGCTGAGCACATGCTCCAAAGAAGTGGCAACTGAAAACATCGAACCACGGAGTACAGCTTCAGCATTCGCAGACCTGAGCACTCAGGGGTCTGATTTTTCGCGCGATCACAACCGGTCGGTATGCTGAGTGATGTCATGGCTACAGTCTGCTGTAAGAAGTCAGTCAGGTTTCGAAACGGGAAGTTGCTACGGGATGTTTCAAGACTTCCAGAGGCCTGCATGTGTGAACTCGTGTCTATGCCACCGTAGACTCTTGACTGCCAGCCCTCCAGCAGTTCAAACTGAGTTGCGACGAAACGAAAGAGGCGCCGCACAGTCTGGGTTGGCTCTTCAGCATTTGAGCCAAAAACAGCGCCTAGACACCAGATGGTCTGCTCTGTGGCCACTCCAGCTATGTCGTGCGTCGCCCTGCAGCTCTAAGTCCTGGTGCTCTCCAGCCACAGCGGCACAGAAGGCCGTGCATGCAAGTGCTGCTGCCAAGCTCGCTCGAGGTGGTGAGGAAGGATGAACGATCCTGGCTGAAACACAAGCCTCTCAGTGGCACTGCGAAAAACATGCTCGATGTGACAGTCAGACAGGCGCATATCTGAGCATGCGAAGACCTCCGTTTCTCCATGGTTAGACGGTGTCGTCAAGACTAAACTCCACCGCATGGCCGCGGCCCACCACCGAGGGCGCCATAAGCACATGCCATGCATATGGACTGCTGCGCTTCCTTAGCACGGGACGAGAATTTTCAAGTCGATTTCCATGTGGAGCTCGTACCCATCTCCGCTAGTGGCATCGCTTTGAGAAATCTGCCCCTCAGACATCACTCCTTCGGCAAACGTGGCACCCAAGTACGGGATATCGAAGTGAATACCCAGGCACTGCTCCTCTGTGGTCTCCTGGCAGTAGCTCTTGAATCCAGTCCTCAACGCGAGGCTGGTGTCTCTGCTTCACCCAGCTGTATAGCCTGGCCAGCATGCGCTGCTCGGAGATTGCTTAAAGCAGAGCTTCATGGAGCGGACGACATAGCCATCCATGCCCGTGTGATGATCTACACCAATCGTCACTCGCTCAACATCCGGCCAGGCCTCACGGACTCCAGGCACGTCCCAACCAGAAACTTCTCCCTCGAGGTGGAAGCGGAATCAATGCTGGACGTCTTCGACGACCTGTGTCCCGGCTCCGCCGCGTCGTCGCCGACAGGCCAGATGAGGCAGGTCCAGGCTGGTGTCTACAATGCCATCCGCTGGAACGCTTAGAACATCGGCCGTCGGGTCAGGCAGGCCTGCTGCAACAATCCCGATCAAGTGCTCCGTCCGCTCGGGAGGATGCTGGGAACACTGGCATGAAACAGCTGTGCATCAAAGGCCTCACAAAGGCGTGTGAACAAACTAGCCATCTGCACCAGGAAATCGAGAAACGTTGAAACTCAATGTGCAACAGCAACTGCTTCGTTACAGCGAGCATGCGCAGCTCCTCCTGAGAGACGAAGTCAAGGAAAGGCACTCTCTGAGTGTTTATCGCAGAAGCTGCTTGGCGCGTGGTGACATCTCGTGAATGTACCAAGCTTTCGTCAGCCTTTCGCAGAAATCAAAAGTCACGTTCAGCAGCATGCGAGCAGCCAGCAGAATCTTCACGGTCCGCAGGACATGTGCCTGCCTCTGCTGTAACTGTGACTCAAGAGCCGTTGCTGCTGCCGCTCTTCTCCGCAGCAGTGAACATGCAGCAGCATGAAGCATGCGAAAAGGCTGGAAAAGACTTCATTGATAAATGCGAAGGACAAGTCGATTCGCGTCGTGCTCCTCTCTAGCAAGAAATACATCAGGATGCTTACAGGCATCACTGCCATCCGCAATCATATTGACAATTGAAGCTCATGGCCAAAGCTCCCAGTTGTTGTGCTGGCAGCAGCTGCTTTGGCAAATCCACTCTGCAGCAACGGGAGCACGCTAAAACTCAGTGAGCACAACCAGGACTGCCGTGGACTTGTCGGCACCTCTCGATTATACGCCCAGCTGAGAACCAACAAATAGCAGAGCAATGCCGCAAGCTGGAAGTCTCTCCAAGGGGTCGGCGGTTCGGTCGACGACAAATAAGGCTCTGAACTACGTAGAATGAGGCATACACTTCAGACACCAGGATAAAGACGCCAACCTCAAGTGTCAAAACAAGGCCAATCGTACGGCTACCCCTTCATGTGTAGCGGAAAACTACTTGAATTGATGCAGTCGCGTCGCAAACTGGCAAGCTCTTCCTACGTCAGGCCTGCCGAATCGTAGCATCGACATAAACCACGTACAGGGTGACCAGGAACGTGGTAGACAGAAAGCCATCCACAGCTCCGCTGGTGGTGAAACTCATGGCTCCAGCTATCTTGAGCAACAGCCTGCCCAGGCAGGCCTTGAGCCGGACTGCGACACCGAAGACTTCATCTCGGTCGCCTAGGACCTAAGCCAGGAGCTGGTGGACTGAAGCAGAGGATTTCCAGAGGCTTTCTGCTCATCACCAGGCCTCCGCGGTGATGTGTGCAACGTTCGCACCTGTGGCGAAGTGCTTTGCGCTCGCTTTGCGTGTGTTTCGAAAGATGCTCCCTGTACAGACAGGCAGCTCCTGCTTGTTACTGCTCTCCATGGCCTCCGCGAGGTCATCGCCCACGCGCAGGCTCCAAGTCTGCTCTGAAGCAAAGGTCTCCTGTTGGAGCTGTGGGTTTGATCCACCCAGGATGGGAGTGAGTGGGAGCCTTCTTTCCGAACGCAACTTTGGTCGCATGCTTGCGTAGAGAGTATGCAGCCAGTGTTGCATCGATGCCTACAGTAGGTACAGTAAACTCGGCATCAGCACAGTTTCGCTGAGAGCTTCTAAGGAATGTCTAGTTAATTAGTGTGGTGAACACGCCAGGTGGCTTAGTGCATACAGAACTCCTGCGCCGACGACACAGATATCGGCAAGGCCAGCCATTCGCCCGGAGCCTTGCAGAAATCTCTGCGGCAGTCGACACTATGGACGACTAAGGTGAGGCGCACGGAGATACTGCGGGCGACACTCCAGAGGCTCATGCCTTCCAAACAATTTGCCCGCCTCGTTGCCTGAAGATGGCGGCGCTTCGAGCTCCAAGAGAAGGGATGAATCCCCAGAGGCATCTGCACGACACAGGATTCTTATGTTGCGTTCCTAGACTCATGTGTGTCAGCTTAGCTCGTCGGTTCCAGTGCTGGTGCAGTCGGTTGCCCCAGCTCCTGCCAGAAATTCTAGCTGCCACGCCGGTTCCGCTGCCGCCATACTACTACATTCATTCTATACTATACAGGGAAGCGGAGCCCCCAAATCCTGGTTCCCGGCTGCACCGCTTTGTCCTGCAATGCGATACACTAAAGCGCCTGCCTTGTGGGCTGCAGCGGCTGAGCAGCGCCGACCTGCGCACACCGGACGGGACTTGCGATACCTCTTTTTTTTGCAAGCTGCTCTGTATGTCATAGAGCCCTGTCAATGAGTCCATCTTGTAGCACAGACATAGACGAGAGCCACAGCCATTGTATTCTTATGGAAAACTATGACAGCCACTCCATTGATGCAGTGGAGCTGCTGCAAGGTGGTCTGTGGAGCATGAATTTTTAGCGACTTTTGACTAATTCGTGGTTTGTCTTCGTACAAATTCTTAGCCATGATTCCTTCGCTCTCATGATCCGGCCTCTGCTGAGTAGCCAAGAGCCTCCAAGACACCGAGATGTTTCCGTAATTGAGCGCGTCACCTTGTCTCATGCCAACCAGTGCGAAGGTTACAAGATGATGCATGGGACACGACATCGCAATCGGGCAGCATCAGCTTGCCCCGGTTCTATCCGGAACCACTACTACGGGGTCACCACCGTAATCATTGATAATCGCTTGAGCTGCAGGCAAGCAGTGCAAAACTCGATATCGAGGTGCCTCCTTGGCCCTGCTCGCTCCACGCGCAACTGACAGTCACGCCCTGGGGTGCGGAGAGGACAAGAGGCCTCAGTGCACACTGCCAGTCGCGAAACTCCCAATTTCAAGCTCGAAGACCCTCCACCCAGTTTGTGACCTCGAAAAGCCTCAGCAGAAGCCAACAGGCCGTCCCTGCTTCAGCCAGAAAGCAATGGCAGAGTTGCCAGGCGAAGCTCGTCGAGCAGGAGGGCCAGGCGAAAGGAGAGGAGCCTGGGTCGCTTGTTGTCCAAGTGGAGAGGAGAACACAACAGCACGCAGCATGTGGCAACGTCAGACTCCAACATCAGCTGGCCATTCACTTCCGGCTGCCGCAGCGGTTGCAACCACGCCTTTCCCCGCACGGCTGACTGCAGCTACTGTAACACGCAGAGGAAACAGCTCCCTGGCCTCGAGGCCTGACAGTTGGAAGCCTGTCAAACGGATAACCTGCCAATTTCGGGCACCGCTGCTACCAAAAAGGAGTTGTTCGAAATGAGTGCGGTATTTCTCAGCTCCCCTAGCTCCGACGGGCAAGCGCAGGGTACAGTGGGGACGTACTCGCTTTCGACATTATTATATTTAAAAATCACAAGACAACAGATATTTCGAAGACGTAGGCAGAGATTCGGCCTGCTGAGGCACCACGTCAGCATGCCGCTCACGAGGGTCACGTACCTGGCCAAAGCTGAAGACACGGAGCAAAACAAGAGCCATGGGGGGGGAGAGCCGACACCCTTCCTCGCGTGAAGGCTTGGATCTGCTATCCTCTGACGCACCTGTACCCAGCCTGTGCCGCAGTCCCTGACCTGCACTTCCAGTCTCTCCGTGCCGATTTGCTGCACTTCTGCTGGGTGTCTTACCGAAGAGTTCCCCTCATTTTCTTTGATCTGGGCTTGCTGGATTTCGCATTGCTGTGACAACTTCTTGCCGGACTTGCGACTTCGGCGCTGAGGTTAACAGCCGACGGGCTTCCAACCTGAGTATGCGCATCTCCCTTTCGTCAGCTGCTCGCCCCGGTTGACCGAACGAGATCCGGACCAAGCCCGGAGGTACAGTGGATGTGGTGGTGATTGGTGCTGGCCCTGGCTGCAAAAACAGGATTCCACTAAGACTGAGACTCACACTCAACTACACTGCACAGGTGGACAATCAAATGCTCAAAGTTCTGTGCCGGTTCCTTGTGTGATGAGAGACAGCGCTGCCAGTTCCCAGAGGTTGGGCGGCTGCAGCATTGCTGGTGTGAGCACCTGCCTGGGTCGCAATTGCACTGGCGATCAAGAACAAGTCTTCCAGTCAGCCCATGTCCGGATCCCTGTGAAGGTCAGTTTGTCGTGGGGCCCTGGCATAAGAAGCTCGTACGAAGCTTTTGCCTGCATGGCCTGCAGCTGGCTGTGAAACCGACACAGCGGCAACTATTCTGCATCCTTACGAACTACAATACAAGCAATTTGTCTCTAGACAAGTTCTGGAGTTATGGGCATGGGCATGGTCCCCCTTCCCTTCGACATCCTTCGATGTATAGCATGAAACTTGGGCTGGCGCACTGTGCAATTCCAGGAGAGTCGCTGAAGGCTCCGATGAGTCGCGCCAGCACTGTCCTGTCGGTAGAGTAGTGCGCAGCAAGTCGGCAGAACACGGCGCTTCTAGAACCCCACCTGGCTCGACGAGACCTCCCGGGCCAGAGCCCTCGACACAGTCCGCGGCCCAAACAAATCCACTGGGAGCTCGTACGCGCAGGAAGCCTCTGATTTGAGGTCACAGCAAAGAGCGGAGACAGCTCGGACTTCACAAGCTGCCAACTTGCTTACTAGTGGCTGCCAGCGGGGATATCGAGGACTGGTGTGACTCGGAAGGTAGCCTGGATCAAAGCCTTGGCAGGAAAGTGGGCCTTGCATCCCTCCTCTCCAACTCCTGATAAACGACGCTGGAAAGCACGTTTGTGTGCATTGTGCCAAGATCCCCTCCAGTGCTTTCCTCTCGCAGAAAGATGTTAAGAGCTCCGCAGAGCGCCTGGTGCTGGATACCGAAACCTCATGCAGGGTCGCGTCTTGTCAAAATGTTGACGAGAGTTTGCAGTCCGCAACATACTGCGACGATTCTGGCTACGTAGCTGCACCAGAAGCTCCGTCTACAGGGTTGTTTGTGGCTGCTTCGTGTGCGAGCCGCAAGTGAAGGTCTACCTTGCTCTCTTGGTCATGCTGGGTGCCGGTGCGAGAGTACTGCGAGGATCGAAAGATGGCACCACGGGCAGCGGACCGCCGGGCCATTCCTGCAAGCGCCGGCTGGGGCAGCTGCGCAGCAGCAGATTGAATTGAAGCCTTTTTTTGCCTGTGGTGACTGCGAGGTGTGGGATGTGAAGTGACGCACCCTGCTTCTTTCGCTCGTCATAGCTCTTGTCTTGGCAGGGGCGTCACTCCCGGCCGTCGCATGTGGCGAACCTCACCCATGGAATGCATGCGAGAGACGGTTCGGAAAAAAGAGCGATGCAAACATACTCGTGCGAGGACATTACGATTGTGGACACTATATGGATTTGAACTTACAGCTCATGATTCCCCTGACAGCAGATGCGGCTGCTAGCTGCTAGCCATCGCTGCTGGAACCGAATCGCACACAAAGGCACAACCCCGGGCCCAGCACATCCGCACAGCAATGGCAGCTTTTCCCCCAACCTCGCATCAAGCCCAAACCTGTCCAAAATCACAGAAGCCCAGGCATGGTGACAGGCGCCACCGGATCCCCGCCAGTTCTGGTACCGAAGCCCGTGGTCTGTGACCACTATTGACCACTGTTGCTGTGCCAAGGCGCGAAAAATATCATGCTTAAGGAAAGTGACCCCTCCTGGTCTGTCCGAGCGGCCTTTTGCATCATCAGCCTTTCCTCTGCAGCGGCGGCGTGCCTGGAGGCCCACTCTGCCTGACAAAGACTGTGACCTTCACCGCAGATCGAGGACTGAGCGATTTGTACTCATGAAACCCTGCCGATGCCTCAAGTGCATCGTACTGGCTTCGCAGCTTTTCCAACCTTCGTACATCTTCGTATGCACTGGCAGAAAAAGAGTGCAGACGACTGCCATCGCCACCTGTGTCCAATGCACGAGCACAGTCAATAGAGTCACCAGCTCCTAACCCTTCCTCGTGGGCAAAGTGTTGTCGTCATCGATGCGAGGGTGCTCGCTGGAAGCACCCACAGGTCGAAGCTTCAGAGGGCGGACTTGCCGCAACCCAAATCTGTGTATGGGGGCTGGGCGGGCGGGCGCTTTCTGAAACAACGATTCCCGTCCAAGTATCAGAGGCGGCAGCTCCGTCGGAGACAGATGTGCGCGTGCAGACTCGAAATCGGCCTGTGCGCTCAAGTCTCTGAAATTACTGCCAAGGGCTCGCATGCAAGCATTTTGCACACAGCTTTTGACAGCGACATATTGTCCCAGGTCCTGAAGTTTCGCCATGGCGAACCGCAGATCCTGAGCTTGCCAGCAGCCACTGCCTTTCTACCATCTGGAACGATGCAAGTATGTCCGCATCGAATCGAAAGGAGGCAACATACTGGCATCAAGGTGCTCAACCGATGCTTTGTTACAAGTTTCGTTGGTGACGACATCCTGCTTCTCTTTGTTGTCTTTGAGCTGTGAATCCAAATCCTGGCTCTGGCTGCAACAGAACGCAGTAGCAGCAGCGCTGCTTGAGAAAGTGCGGGACACATAAAGAAGCTCATAGTGTCATAGAAGCTCGGGAGGGCCACTTGCGACAATGCTACAAGCAGTAACACAACTACACAACTTAAACAATCTCAAACACGAAGAATACCCTTCGTTTTGGGTTAGGCGGCTCTGTGCAGTCTTGACAGGGGCATCTGATTTTCTGATTTTTATGTACTCAGGATTGGGCCGAAGCAAGGGGAGACAACTGGAATACTACCCAAGTCTGCTTGCCGGATTGTTGGATTTCGGGTGGGCCGGAAAACAAGGGTGAATATCGTCCACTGCGAGGAGGTGCTCGACGTCTACCTGGAGCCCCTGCATCAAGTAAGGGAACCTCGATAAGACAACTACGCTAAGAAAACCAGCCCAGACTACGTTGTCTGATTCCCTGAAGCTCGCCCGCCGCAGTGCAATGGGATAAGACAAAAATAGAACAGCCTCCCCTTAAGAAAGAATTCCCAATCCGGCGGCCGGCGCAAGCACTTGCGTTGGAGGATGGGCTTCTGGTTTAGAAGGAATAACCTGACAATACCAGACCAGCAGTTTGCATTCTAGGAATCGGTAAATCGCGTCGCTTTGAGAATAAAGCCCGATGCCGAGCTGTCCTAAAAGCAGCTTCGGGAGGGCCCTAGCAGCCTAGCAAATCACGCTTTGCAGAAGCTTGCAGCCCATCGAAGGTTCCGAAAAGCAAGTTCGCAAGTTTGAGCAACCACACAGCATTGCGGCGCCTCTAAGGTCGATCCCGCCAACTCGTGCAACCGTCTCTGCAGGTCTGTGGCACAAAGGTCGGGTCGCTCAGGAGAGCAAGTGGCACTCAAGACCTGAGCGTTGGATCTTGGAAGCTTGGGCAGCTTCGGTTGATGTTATAGTCTCAAGATCGAAGCTGCCAATGGCCTTAGGTTGTTTGAGTCTTAAATCACTTCAGATCAGTAGCCTGGCCTGGGCAAAGTCGGACAGCTCAGAGACTGAGCCGTCATACTGCCGCAAACCATAGGCGCTGCCATACCTTCAGCCAAGCGACTTTTGTTCGGACAACACAAGATGCTGTGCATGGACATGGCCTCGGCTAGGCAGACTCCAAATGTAAGCTATGTCACATGATCGCCGGGAAGCTAGTTACATTCAGCAGGCCGCAGATGTCTCGAGCAAGCCGACAGTTCACGTCCGTAGCGAGCAATCGCGAGTGGCCTTCCATTACATTAGCATGAAAATGCACATACCTTCATGCAACTCGTGTTTCTCAAACTTAATGATAACCGCGACAATGACTCAATCACAGGACAACTTGTCGGCATCCTGAGAAGCTTCCGGCCGCAGCCTGAATACTGCAGGATCAGGGCTGTCCAGTCCACAGGGGCGTCGTCGGTGCAATGACAAGCAGACCTGAGCCAAACAGAACATGCTTTGCATGGAAGCACAAACAGCCACAAGTAGTGTTTCCGACACGAAAAAAAAGAAAATTATCGGATGCTGCTTTCTCCATCCGCGCGATCTAGACAAAGTGCCCAAATCTGACCAGCAAAACCTTCCCCGCAGTCTCTTCCTGCCAGTTCTCCTTAAATCACCGAGTGAGAGACAACACTTGTAAAGTAAACTCTCTTCCAGAGTCACGCCACAGTCACGACATAATCATCAGCGAGAGACGTCGGTGAGCCATGCTGAGCTCAGAATCCGAGAGGTATTCCAAAGAACAATCAGCGCGATTGCTCTCATGATCCCATGCTGACCAACGCGGCAGTGGCTCCAGGACCTATGTGCTCTGATACCGTTGAAGTGATCTCAGTTGCTGCCTTGCTGTGAAACCGGTGTGTGGCTTGCCTCCGTCTGTGTCTGCCGTGTGCGCTGAAAATAGCTAGGTCATGATCTGGTGCACAAGGAAATGCTGCAGTATGTCATCTGCCTCACTACAACTTGATCCTCTTGCCTGTCCGGCCTCACCCTGTCATATGTGTGCGTGTCAGAACCGGTCAGCCGAATGGTGCGGGTCGCTAGCGGAGCCCACTCTGATAGCGAACAAGATAGCTTACCACTGTAAAAAGTGAGGATAAGTGAGGCCAAGTGCGCAATTGTCGTGTTGGTGATAGTATGGAAGTGGTAATGATGAGGACCGCTACCCTCGAAGCCTCACCGAAGGCATGCATTCGGCCTCAGGACTCAAGATGTTACCGTGGTCTGCGAGCTTTTCTCCCTGCATCTTCATCTCTCCTATTTGGACCATTGAATCGAGCTGGTGGTATGCAGGTGTTCTGCCCCAAAACCTTGGCACTCGGAACTCGGCGGATACTTCGATCATGGGCTTTGTGTCGTTGGCAAGCCGCCCCGATTTCGCTCAAGTTGCTGATTGTGATGCTCGTGCTGGGACACTTGTAGGACATCGCAAGTGGCAGTGAGGGCTTCAATTTAGCTGTTGCTTCTCAATCTCCGCTGTGGCCTGTCACTGCAAAAGAAGACTTGCTGCCATGTGGGCACTTTTGAGTCCCGTGGAATGGAGACGGTGGAAACCACAAAGCTTAGCTGACCCACCATGTAACACTGCTAGCTTGAATGATGCAGGCACTTTGCATGATCGGACTCTCCTCAAGGTTGGTGTTGGTGACGCTTTGCCTGTCCACCGACCAGTCCTGGCTACTGTCTTCCAACTCCCAATGTGCTCGAGGCAAACATTCGCAAGAACCAGTTCGCTGCTCGTACCCTCTGATTGCAGTTATACTAGCACAAGGCACTGTGTCTCTTCCAGGCACCTCTCGTAGGGCGGTCAGCAACAGCCATCCGCTGCCTGCAGCAACAAACCTTGGTTAAACGGTTAAATCAAGCAATCCTTTCCGGCCGTCAGAACTCGTGTGCGCATGCCTGCTTCTGGAGCAATCCCTGCTGTCTCGAAGGCCGGGATGTCGGGAAGGAAGCCTTGCTTGTAGGGTAAGCTGAGGAGTTGACCGGGTCTGCACTCTGAGCTGAATCCTGAGTCTCATTTGGTCGCCAGCGCTTGCGGCGAGAAAATGATCTTGCCGCCTGCTCTGTAGCCAAGTTGCGATAAAGGCTGCTCCGCTGGCAACGCGATCAGCGACCTCGGCACTCTCGCATCGCTGCGGCTCCTAAGGGCAAGCCGCATTCTGAAGCTCACAAGCATATCAGACCATGGCGAGATATGGCGAGTCCAAAGAGGCAGGACTTGTGATCGCACGGTAAGGTCCACGCTCGTTCACTTCTCCGGATGCCTCGCAAGGAACACTCTCCACATCACGCCACAGCGAAGCATGCAGGAGCATGCTGTCGCAAGCGTCCAATCTTTGACGGCCATCAGCAGCCTGCCTGGAACACCACGTCCAGGCGCGCTGTGTAGCTGGGAGATGGCAGGCTAAGCCTGCCGATTATGTAAGATTCCACGGGGTCCGCAGTGGAAGAACGGGCCGACATGAGACTGGCCGAGAAAAAACGATGCGCTTCTCCTGTGCATTTAGATTCTGATCGCAGCAGCTAACAGCAGTCTTCAGAACGCTTGAGCTATGCATGATGTGCACTCGAAGAGGCATTGGATCCCACCTCTGGCTGTTTTGAAAGACATCATCCGCACCTGCCGTGTCCAAATCACCATTGGGTAACCGGCTTCAGCCATGGACCCCAATCAGTAGAAGAATATCTAACCTAACACCCAACAGCCACCCCGCAACATGTGGTGGGATTTCGACAGGGCTGTACTTAACTAGTGCAACCAAAGTGCCCCTACTGCATGGCGAGATTCATCGGGATGGATAACGCCAAAGTATTGGATTTTACGTGTTCGGGTTCCCTGGCAGAACGGGGCTCAACTCGCCCGACTACGGAGCGAACGTGATTCCGACGCATCTCGCGAGAACAGCAACCAAATCCCTTTAAACCCACATGGAGAATAATGAATAATGAAGAAGCAGAATAATACGGTGCACAGGGAGAAAATGCGAAGACAGGTACCGGCATCAACCTATTCAGATCTGGTGGAAAGCCGGCCCACCTCCGATATCTTTCAATGCAGTAGACATTCGCACCTGGGCGTCCGAAACCGCCGAACATCTGGCAACGAGACGGATGCCAGTCAACTTACAGCTGAGCCCGTCGATTGTCGGGTTCGTTCTAAGCGCCGAACATTTGTCGCCGCCAATCCCAGTACCTCCCCGGATGCCCCATCGAACATCGAACGCACCAACCCGAGAATCGATGCCAATCCCCATCAGCAGAGCATGCCACAAAACAAGGGAAGTATTTAACTGAGTGTGAGGCCACGTCGGCTGCCACGCCAATACCAGCAGCCGGGTATAACACGAGCCGGCCACCCTTCGGCAAGGCAGCCTGGCGACGCAATCCCCACCGCATATACAGGTTCCACGAGATTGAGTGAACTCTACATTGCGTCTTCAGCCAAACACCTGCATGCTCACCGAAAGCTGCTGCAAGTTGGCCTGCAAGGCAAAGCCTAGCGTCAGGTAGTGGACCCTGTCTGCCTGAGAGCCCGGGTGCCGGCAGCATCTGCTCAGGCCGCTGAGTTTCCAAAGTACCCCAAGCTTCAAGCCCCAGGACTCCAGCTACCTCATATTACCTCATTCTCAGCCTGTTCATTGCCAAGGCGCGGCCAAAAACAAGCTGGTCCCAAACTCTGCAGTCGCTGACCTCCGGGAACGGAAACATTTCAGGCCAAGCGCGACGCACAGGAAAGCCCCTTTCTGCATGTCGGAGGTCAGCAAGAGTCAGAAGAGATTGTGACCGTTCAGATGCAGCTCCCTGAGGGCTTGTCTACCAAATCTGAAAAACGAAATCTGCGCCGGAACTGTCGACAAGCTAGATGCCCTTCAAAACAGGAGATGTTTTGCAACTACCTGCTCTACCAGGTTCTGTTGGTGTCTGTGACCCCGGCAGAGAAACGAAAGACCCGGAGCCAGGCGCTTGGAGAACCAATTGTCCGGCCAAGTAAAGCTGCTCGTCTCCTGAATTTAATAGAAACCCAAGCGCTGGGGCAACGCAAAAGCAAAGCACACATGAGACAATGAACGCAGCATGACACATCTGCCGCTCCATGCCCTGACATCCACGAGAGTTGAAGAGTTGATGCTTGTAAAAAAACCATGCATAGTGCCGGGCATACCGCAGTGCACATGCACACGCGTCGACTCCTTGGTCCTCCAGCGAGCTTCGGTCCAACAAGAAGGCCTGTCGTGCGCTGTGTGTGGGTGTGTAAGACAAAGCAGCATGAAGGGAGAGATCGAGAACAGCCAGCCAGATCGGGGATGATTCTGACTAGCGACACAGAGAGGAAGAGCTCCAGCGCAAAAAGAAATGAAGAGTGCAACATGCGTCTCGATCAATCGGTCGAGGAGAAATCAAGACAAAACTCCAAATAGACTCAGTGTTGCTTCCACGTGCCTGCGAGAAGTCCGATGCATCCGCGCTGCTGCTGGCAGTGCTGGTGGCCACCTACGATCGGAGCTTCTTCCGTATTTGCGGTACATCGCGACATGACCGTGGAGATACTGGTACGGGGAGAAAGAACCCAAACCCCATAAACCCAAATATCTGAGAAGAGCGCGGCCGCGACCACCGGGCCAGCCAGGAAACCCATGCGCACCTCAAAGCAAAGTGACATGAAGAGACTGAGACGCATCTTCACGCGAGAAAACAGCAGTCTGAATCGCTGTCTAATCGCGTTTTTCAGTGTTGTGTTCATGTTTGTCTGTACAAAGTCCCGAAAGACACGGTATGAGATGTTGCGGTTCTGTGCAACACAAAATGTGCCAGTATGTGTGTATTAATTAATTAAACAATCAAGTACTTAATTAATTACTTACTTACTGAATTAAGTAAATAATGAATTGTATTGAATTAAATTATGTATCTATCTATTTATTTGTGTAAGTAATTAGTTAATTAATTCACCAATGAATTAATTAACTAATTGCTTACTTAATTCATGAATGCATTCATTAATTAATCAATTAGCTAATTACTTAATTAACTAATGAACTATTTTTTGCCTCCCGCCTGGAACTATTTAAGTAATTAGTTAATTAATTGGTTAACTAATGAATTAACTAATTAATTCGTTAGTACTTACAAATACTTATTTATTTATTTTTACACATACATAGTGCATATTATATATATATATATGTATGTATGCAGTAATATGCATATTATACATCTATACGAAAACCTTTTCTAAGTATATGTATGCAATTGTTGTGCACTAAATGCGAGAGCACGCCCATGTCAAGACTGCCGCATGCTTGCAAAACTGTTGCTAGCCACGCTTGACTACTGTACATAATGCCACACACTTTGGTGATCTTTGGCGTGCTTAGACTCGGCGTGCCCCAGGATCAGCTGAGGAGCGAGTTCCAGCTTCAGTGTGTAGCGCTGATCCGGCAGGAAGGTAGACACGAATTCTGCACGGAGTTGGGCTTGCCTGGTGGCTAACGCATCCACTCCGATCAACCCATGATCCAAAGCAAAATCTGTGAATTCAATCAGAAGCACGCCTGTGTCATCTGCGAGACACTACTAACTACCCTGGCCACTCGCTGAGCAACCTGCTGGGTGACACGGTTGTCACTTATCTCAGTTTCGATCTGCCTGGCAGACACGTTCCAGCAAACGCTCACACTCCAGATGTGCTTAACAAAAATGCTCTCTGACGTTGCCGATTCGCGAGGCCAAGCAAATTCCGATCAGTTGATGCTTCGATGCACTTGAATGCGACATGCAGAGCAAGAGAAAGAGTCATGCCTGCACTGCTGTCGGGAAGCAACTTACCCCGCACTGAGTCCAAGTACCCTCCAGGGAAACAAGAAATCTGGCCAAACAGCCTCAGAAAGTGACTGCGCATGCAAGCCTCTCTCGATGCACATACATACATACATACATACTTACTTACTTACTTACTTACTTACTTACTTACTTACCCACATACATACACGCATACACACATACATACATATATAAACACACGCACACTTAAATATATGTATATATATGTGCATATATATATATAGAGAGAGAGACACACACACACACTCTATATCTCTCTCCCTATATATATATACACATACACATGAAAGTGTTCGTGTATATATATATGTGTGTGTGTGTATGTAGGTATGTGTGTATGTATGTTTCTCATACATATACATACACGTAATGTTGTATGCATGCATCTAAATCACTAATCGGTGTCTGATCAGGATTGATGGCTCACTGCTGTCCCTCTTGTTGACACACTTTTGCGGTCATGTTAACCAGGTGCTTCGAGAAAACTTGCCTTTCCACACAATACTACAAGACCAGGCTTCAGGCGTGTAAGTCTGTAAACACAACCAGGATTCAACAGGGACGGCCGACTAGACATGCCGAGCAGCCCAGTTGCTGTTGTTCGCGAGTGTGAGAGTCCGTTGCAGTAGAGGCCGTTTTGTGAGAGCAGTGGTTTGCAGGCTTTTCCGGTGTTTGTGTGTGTGTGTGTGTCTGTCTTGTGCGGGTGTCCAGCCATCATCATCATCGTCGTGGTGAAATAAATCAACATTCACGGCCTTCCATCCCTGATGATGGTCGTCTCAGGTCCACACTCGGGGGAAGAACCTGCATCTGCTCCTGCGATTCCAGAAGGCGTGCAAGAAGCAACCCGACTACCAGCGCCATACCCACCCATGACCATGAAGGAATGTCTTGCACTCGTCCTCCGTCGACAGCCATGGTACATTGCACGCTGGCAAAATCCATGGGGCTGCCCCCAGACAATGTATCGATCCAAACCTGAGGCTGCCAAAGAATATTTTTGACCCCCACTTTCCTCTCGGCCCAGGAAATATACTAGTCGATCTTGATTCTTCCAGAGATTTGCTGATGCAATAGCACTTTCCGCACCTGATCAGCGCCTGGAGTTGCCACTTGGAATGTGACCTGCGAGGGTCGGTCCGAAAGGCCGGTGTCTGTTGAATTGAGTGGCTGCTCGGTCCACGGGCTACTCACATTAGTGGGTCGAGCATGCGGGCGCACCTCGAGTGTCGTGGGGAAGTGTCCTGCCACCGCGAACTGAGGCAGGCTTTGTTGCATGCCTTGGTCAACACGGGACACCAATCAGCAACAGGTCTCGGCCCGCCATGGGCGACACAGGTGCACGAGGATTTCCATGCGCGATGCACTGCCCGGCCAGGCTCAGTGGCTTGAAGACTGTCTTCTTTCTGGCAGTGCTTATCCACCTGCAATCAAACATCTCCCGAGCTCCAGGCGTAGGAACGGCATGGCCAGCTGCACTGCATGAGCCTCCGAAAACCGCTCTGCTGCAAGGACGTTGCGTATCTGACAAGTGCATGCGGGTTGCGGAAGTTCCAGGAGAATTTCGCAGCATCTGACATGTTAACTGCTGTCCTTTAGATTCCTTTGGCAGCATTGCTCAGGCGTCCAAGTGATGCCTCCGACCCCGAAGCGGATATGACCTCGGTGGGTGAATCAATGACGGCAAGGACGCATCTCATGCTGTGACTCATGCTTGTCAACCAGGTCCGCCGCTGATAGCAAAGTCTCGCCGGTAACTGCAGATGTGACCGGTCGCAAATGAGACCTTGTCTTGTCCGCCCAGAACCGCACTAGTTCGGAAGGGTTGGGATCATCAGTTGCAAATCAAGCTCAGGATGCGGCAGCTGCACCAATCTCAGCTTGTGTTTGTTGACAGAGTTGCAGGAACAATGCACCGGAACGTCGGTCGCAGCATCTCACTGGGTATACTTTGTAATGTATACATCGAAGGCCATGTATAACATACATGCATACGTACATACATAAATACGTAGGTACATACATACACACATACATCTACACACATGCAGGCATGCATGCAGACATATGTACAAACATACCCACACATAATTACATCTACACACATACGCAAATACATACACAAATAAATACATACATAGGTACATGCTTGCATACATACATGCATACATACCTACATACGTACGTACATACATGCATACATACGCACGCATACATACGCAACGTACGTACATACATACGTACATACCTACATACATTACATACATACATACATACATACATACATACATACAGACATACAGAAATACGTACCTACATACATGCCTACATACCTACGTACATGCATACATGCATGCATGCATGCATTCATGCATACATATCCACAACACACACACACACACGCACGCACAAATACATACATACATACATCCATACATACGAGCATTGATCTCAAGGTCCTGGTCTTCGGATTTACGCAAAACGGTCTTTTGATGTAAACTAACGTGTCCGCGAAAGATCGCGATGGGTCCACGAAAGGAAAGCAATAATCTGCGAAAGTTTTCACGTAACAGACTTGGGAGACATGAGACCCGTAAAGAATACGTTATCATGTTGTGGCTGTACCCTTTACTGCCCAGTGCCGCAGAACTCCCAAAGCCAGGGTAGAACTTGGAAACCATGGACTTGTTTGGGCACTTGCTGCCTCAGCGATTCTGCGGCCAGGAACAGGCTAAGCCAAACTTGTGAGCAGGTCTTGCCTACAGCAACGAGTGTTGTAAAACCAGCCTCAGCGTCAGAATGTGGCAGCTTTGGGAAAATCGTTGTAGGTTTTCCGCGAAAGATCTGCGAAAGATGTGTGAAAGACGCCGCGAAAGACGGCCCAGCTTGTGCAAGGCCATGGCTCGACTACAACAGCCACCACCATCCTGGTGTAACAGGTCACAGACCTCCTACTTCTACTACTACTACTACTACTACTACTTCTAGTAGATTCTACTACTACTACTACTACTACTATTACTACTACTACTACTACTACTACTACTACTCCTACTACTCCTACTACTCCTACTACTCCTACCACCACCACCTCTACCACTCCGACGACGACGACTACGACTACGACGACGACGACGACGACTACTACTGCTGCTATTGCTACTGCTACTGCTACCGCCAACAACATGTCGCGCGAAAGTGAGGGCGAAAGTCCCGCCAAAGGAAAGCAAATATCCGCGAAGGAACCATTTCCGCAAGAAGGAATACTGATCAACGCTCATACATATACATATACATACATACATGCATGCATGCATGCATGCATACATACATACGTACATACCTACATACATTACATACATACATACATACATGCATACATACATACATACATACATACATACATGCATACATGCATACAAATATACATAACTGCATAGTTCTTGCTTGCGTGTTGAGGACACGCTACGTACGTGTAAGCCAGACTGTCAAGCCGCATCAGCATCACTTGCCCTAGCTATGCCTGGGCTTGCCTCAAAACTGACCGGGTCGATGTATCAGCGTCTTGCTTTCGTTGCTGCCGTGGTGCGTCGTCGAACCCCGAGGAGCAGCGGCCACAGCCGCTGCGTCCGGATTGGTGGCCACGAGGTGGAAGTCCAGTCGAGAGCCCTGGCTCTGGGCAGATCGGACTACAGTGTAGCAAAAGTAAGCAGAGTGCAGGGTGTGCAAGGTGCCGATACAGATGTCGCCCGTTTTGCGCACGACGGCAAACGCCGAGATATGCTAAGGCGTTTGTTTCAGCACGCAGCTGAATTGTCACCTGCCTTGCCCGCGCATGTGATCCCGCTCGGGGGCATAAATGCAGCAGTTGAGTCGACAACTTGGAACTAGCTTGGCATGTCCTCGCAATGATGTGATCCACTCAGAGTTGCAGAGGTGAGAAGCTGATGGCTGTGATCCTGAGACAAGCACAAATCTCATTTGCGCAATCCGCTAGACTGGCTCCGTCAAGTGCTTTGATACATGTTGTAGGAAAGCTGCGCAAACCACACTGCAGAGAACATCGCGAAGGACTGGCTGCCCGTCTTCGCAACCACTGCGTTGCTGGCAACATTGCCACCAGTCAGGAATGCCGAGCATCCTTACAGCAAGCTTGGGTCGCCCAGCGAGTTCTGACACATACTCCAGTGACAGCGGCATTGCAACAGTAGGCCCACTTGGGCTCACTAGGGGACTTCACTGGATAGAGACCAACGAAGACAAACGGTTTCCCTAACTGCAGGGCTCCGGCTGCCGGTTGCATGGCGTTTCACAAAGTAAGGAGCAACACATTTTGCTTCGAAATCCGGATCTTGCGACGTGCTGGGGAGGCCCATCGGCCGGTGTCACAGTTTCTGCTGCGAGAGATAGGGCGCAATTGTGCCGCCCGGCACTCGTCTGCTGAGAAAGACTTAGTATATGGCTTGGCTGGGGAGCTGTGCAACACAAGCTCTCGCCACACGGCAGAACCATTTCTAGAAGTGTGGATATGCGGCTGTCCGGACCTCTGTCGTGATAGCTTTCTGTTGTCAAGACCTCGGACAGTGCTGCTTGGGCCTGCACGATGTGAGTGTGTAATGTTCTCCTGCCTGACTCGAGAGCAATGCACGCACGCACGCACGCACGCGCACACACACACACACATGAGCCGACAAAGGTTCGAACGCCGACAGTTCACTCAGCCGAGCTTCGATCCACACAGCTTTTTTCTTCAGTCCTCTGTCCCCGATGCTTGCCCCAGCATCGGACAAAGATCTGGCTCTGCTTGTCAACCTCCTGCGCATACTGCACCAAGCACTCGCCCTCCCAGCCGGCATCACTGTCACTCTGCGGGTGTCTTTGTGTTAGCTCTGATGACAGACGACTCCCTTCCGTGGTGAGTCTGTGGGTCCAGCATCAGGCACTGTGCAGATCGCATCAGCCACATGTTGGCGGCAAGGACTCCCAGCTTGGCCTGGCCGATGCCACGAGCAGGTTCTAAGCAACACCCGAAGACCTGTGATTTCCATGCAGGAAGCAATAATTTCAGCCATGCTTCCAGGTAATGTTGTGCCGCCACATGCGCAGAAACTGGCAGTAAAGTGAGCGCGCCGAAGACTTGAAGTGTGATAGCCTGTGCGAAAGAGTTTGAAGACGAAGCACTCCACTGCCGGTCGCAGTCCTTAAAGCCTGAATCCTGAACTCGCAGCTGTTTTGAGAAGCCAGCATCCCTGCTTTTACGCAACAACCATCAGGGCTAACATTAAGTTTTGCCCAGGTTGCATTGAATTGATGGCGGCTTTGGCAGGAAAGTTCTTCCGCACTCCGCAGGATGACCTCGGTGTCAGGACCGACTGCCTGGGAACTCGACGTCGCCATTGCTGCACAGTTCTCTCGATGTTTCTTGCAAACTTGCTGCTCACCCTGCACTTGAAAGCTGGGCACCAAGACATCGACCGCGACAGACGACGAACAGAGCCAGGCAAAACCACTTTCCCCGCCATTAAAGTAGGCTAGCCAGTGCACCCTGCCTCCAGATGGTCTGCAACTAATTCACAGACATTCTGTCCAAACACCTAAATTTGCAGTGAAGCTGCTGTCTCCGCCATCAAAAAGCCGAGGCATCCCGAGAGCCCGCAGAAGCCGACCAAAGTCTTGGTCGCCTGGTGCAAAGTGTGCTCCGCGCAACAGCTGGTCCCTGGCCCCTGAAGTCCAACTCAAACAAAAGTACATAAGCACAGCCTAAGGTCCAGGCGAAGCCGCCAGGAACGCTCAGCGCACTGAGGGGCGGCAGCAACACGGAACCTAGCGAGCTGTTGCAAACAGGGATGTGCCAGCGCAACGTTTGCAAGATGACACTGGGAGGATAGTGACGCAGCAGCACAGCTGTTCAGCAGCTTGTTTCCGACCCAACAGGAGTTTCCAGGTCTACGTTAGGGGGTATGGTGCCGGTGTGGGCAGGTGTAACGTGTTAGGAAGTGGCATCCAAGGCACAAAGACCCAAAGACAGCGAGGCACTGCCAAGGCCCAGAACTAGCGCCAGGAGCTGTGAGCTGGGAGCCTCCTCGAGAAGAAAACTCCGAAAGTCAGAATGCGCAGTGCTGCGCAGTGGCTGCTGGTCCTTCGGCCGCCAGCTCTCAGACAAGTCAGCCAGGCTCAGCATCTGTGCAGCCTGACGGTTTAGCCTAGCATACCTTCCACCTCAGTCGTGCCAGGTATAGCGCAGCAAACCAAGCGCTTGAAAATCTGCATGTCAACAAGAATTGGCCCATTGCCATTTCCATGCTCGTTTAGTGTTTCGGAGGGGAGAGCACGCAAACTCTGCGGCGCTGCTACAGGAAGCACTGCCAGGAACTGTGCTGCATGAATGCTGCACTGCACAGATGGCATTGGGATGCAAGGGCTAGTAGACCTCCTCTGCGCACTCCCTGTCGACCTCAAGAGTGGAGCTTCCGACCCCCACAGTGCTCGGCCTTCCGCAGATTCGTCTTGCACGGATCAAGGTTGTCTGCACAGACCAATCATCATGGCGCACATGCAGGTACTGGCCTCGACTATTGTGGGGGCCTTTGTCTGTTCACTTCACTTCCGTGCTGTTACTTTTACTGCGTACAGATCCCCGCGAAAACTGCAGATAAGCCAATTAAAATTGAATCATTTATTGGGCTCTCCGAAACAGCGAAACCGCGAGAACATGTTCGATGACATCATTTGTGGCCATTCTGTCTATCAGCCTGCAAGCTGCGAGAAAACACGCACGGATGCCTCTGGGAATTGCCCGCCGACTCGTCAAATGCTTGACTGCAATAAACCTTCAGCACACATCTGCAGATGTCTGGCCACGCCTGAGCCAAAGCCTCTGCCGGGCCAGTTATGCTGAACTGCAGAGTGGATTGCCTCTCGATTCTCACATGCACTGCTGGAAGGAAGCCAATCGTTTGACTTACTCGAACATACATGCAGACTCATGTAACCATGCTGACTGAGGCGCATGCCCAGGAAGCGAGCACGCAGTTAGCGTGTAGTCTGCCGATTGAGGCCTTGCAGACCATCGGTAGAGTCGAATTCGTACGTTCGCAAACGGTCAGGTGCGCATACCCGCCCACTCCGAGGCGAGAGGCCAGGAACAGCTGGGCAGCTGGCGTCCCAAGGGAGCTACAAACCGCAGCAGACACCTGCAGCCTGAATGAGAGGCTTTACGTTCAGTGCGTTGCCGGCATGGCAGCTCCCGAACCGATGGTGGCCACGTCTTTGGCATTTGTCGCAGTGTTCATGTCGATTGATCGCTACATACGTCAAGAACAGATATACAGATACACGCACACACACGATTATATGTGTGTTTTCTGTGTACACATGCATTTAGAGCTACATAATGAATGAATAAACGAACTATCAACATACATATATATATATATATGTATGTATGTATGCGCATATTATATTATATGATATTATTTTTCTAGCGAGCGCAGTGAGCTCCCGACAGAACCTTGTACTTGATAGATAAAGAAAACCAAGAAGTCTGTACACACATGCGGCTCAAAACAACAGCACCACATCAACCATGATGAGATTTCCTCGCGCATTGCCTTGGTGCGCCATCATCTGGAACTAAAAAAAGGATCTATCCTTAGAAGAGCCTGTTGCAAAACAATTTGGAGACGGGCATCATTATTGTGATTAAACATAGTTATGGGACCTGCTATTTGCTTGTATGCATCAGCATATGTCTCCAGCAGCCAGTCAGATTTGGGGCGACCCACCCTCCTTGTCAAAACAGTCCTGGGCCTTAGGCTGTCGGAATGAAATACCACCTGGTTCAAAGGTTCTGATCTGGATGATCTCAGGATGTGACCAAAAAGTCTCAACTTCGCCTTTCTCCATGTGTCACCGAAGTGCTCAAAGTTACAGTGGTAGATCTGGCGTATTTCCTGGTATATCCGTTGATTTGTTTGTTCTCTGTCTAGAAAAGTCGGAGGCTTTCGTAGGATGCGTCTCAGGCTTTTGTTTTGAAATGCATTTAGTTTAGAGATTTTAGCGTTCGTCAGCTGTATACATTCAAGCCCATACAAAAAATGATCTTATGATTGTGTTAGCCTGTGTTAGCCTTTTTCCAAAAGACCTTAAGTCGATTACACGTCGCTATACAATTTCCCAATCTGTTAGCTATTTCCGCCTTATTGTCGAATGTGTCAGTGAGTAAAGTGCCTAGGTATGTGGCTGATCTCTGTCTTGGGACTCGTCTTCCTGCAGCTGGTCCATCGGGAGAAAAACGCACTGATGAAACTCTTTGATTTGTGTAAGATTCACGCATTTTCCATAATTCAGTTTCAACCCGTAGTACGCACTGTGCCTTTCAATTGCATGTTGTAATAGCTTGTTAGTACATTGCGTGTTAGCTCCAAATTTTAGCGTATCGTCAGCAAAGAGGATTTCAGAGAAGTAAATACCGTCTAATGGCTGGAGTTGTCTTGGTGTACATAGTTCCATTTTAATGTCTGCGAACAGAGCTCCCATAACTAACACAAACAAGTAAGGTGAAAGCGGACATCCCCGCCTTATGCCAGAATATTGAAGTATTCCGACTCATTGTTACCGGAGCGTACTTTGAACTCAGGATTAGCATAGAAATCTTTGATTAGCCTGTAAATTTTGTCTGGTACTTGCAAGCGACGCAATACTTCAAGCATTTTCTGTTGCGACACTTTATCAAAGGCCTTCTCCCAGTCCAATAGAATGAGAGTACTAGCAGTTCTTGACTTCTCCGAAATATCTTGTAATCTGCGAGCCATAAAGATTGCGTGGGAGGTGCTTGTATGTTTGCGGCAACCAAATTGCGTGGTCATGAACCACGAGTCCAGTCCCTTGTCCAGTCTTTCCCTAACCAATGCTGCGGTTATTTTATAACATGTATTAAGTAACGATATGGGTCGATAGTTTTCAAGCTTAGATGCATCCCCTTTTTTGTATATATAAACTACAACTGCCTGCATAAGGTGATGGTCCATTTCTCCTGTTGCTAAACAGACGTTTGCCGCATCTAATACCAGTCTTCTGTCTGGCACATCCAGCCACTTGAAGAGTCCGCCTGGGACCTGGTCTGCTCCTGGTGACTTATTGTTCTTGATTTTGTTGAGGACATACTCTAGCTCAGTGATTGTGAAAGGAGAATCGTCTACTTTGTAAGAGCCGTGTTGTAGTGGAGTGTTTTCCCTTGATTCTTGATCATCATTGCATTGTACCCTCACGATATTCGGCTGCTTTACTGGCATATTCTTGAAATGGGACATGGTTGCCATCTATATCTTTGAACTTAGTGAAGGATGGAGTAAATTTTGCTCAAAGCTTTTTGAGGCCCTCCCATTTGTAGCCTTGAGCTGCAATTTCTTCGAGTTGTTGTAAGAGGTCATTTTCTCTGTCTTGTTGCACTTGCTTTTTGATTTCTTTACTGATTTCATCTGCAATATCTTGATCACCTCTGTCTATGGCTGTCCATTTCCTCTCTAGTAAGTTCCACGTGTCTTGAGATATGTATGGCTTTTTGGTTTTCGGGATTCATCGGCGCTTGTCAACAGTATGTTGTTTAGCCTATCAAAAACGTTAACGTCCTGATGTTCTTGTGGGTTACCATCCTCTGCATTTTTTCGGATTGAATCATTGCAGCTAACTAATTTTGTTGTAATGGCTGATGGAATCTAGGACGTCTCTCGAAACGTCTCCTGTTGTTAGCCTTTAGTTTGAAAGAAGCATTTGCTATCAACAGCTTGTGGTCCGTTTCCACAGAGTGTACAACAGTTGTGGTGATGTTTGGAATTGCGTTTTTCCACTTTGAACTTATGAGGAAATAGTAGTCCATCTGAGCGAATTTGTGTAAATGCCATGGGGGCTTCCGTTCTTTTACCCCGACTGCTTTATATTATATGTAACTAGCTGTTCTTGAGACTTCTGAAAGTAGGTGTTCTTAGCTACCCTTTCATGTGAAAGACAGAACTCTGTGAATCTTAATCTGTTCTGGAACTGCGCGTCACTTAACTCGCTGATTTCGTTTCCGAGTTTATATAATATATTATATTGCGTTTTATTTTACTGTATATTTTATCAGCATATGTATATATGTATAGTATGCGGGAATCACTATGCCCCGCGCAGGGTGGAAGCTCTAAGCCACGTGCCATGATGGCAACTGCACCTCAATGACCTCACAGAGTGCAGAGACGCCTTCTGCCCGGAAGTTTCATCATGACTTCTACCAGGCTCCCAGCATCACTTGCAGGAATGACAGGCTCGCTAGGAGCCCAAATGAAGGACCTCAGGCATGGACGGCGGGCACAACTGGAGCAAGCAAACACTCTCGTTCTTGCTCGCTCTCTTGTTGGACTGCTCGTTGAGCTTCGTAGATACGCACGAATCTAGACCACAATGAGGTGGGATCCGTCGAACACAGGGCTGTGTGTCAGGATGCTGTGACAAAGGCCCCGTGTTGGCATTTGCGGCAGTGAACAAGACAATCTAGTCAAGGCAGCAATGAACTGACCAGGGTCCTCGCAGCTCGACCTCAGCACCCGCCTCAGGACACAGAGCAGCATGCCGCATCGCAAAGCTCGAAAGGACTGAGCAGCAAAAGCGCAAGCACTTGTCACTTGACGGGCCCAGCAAAAATGGCCTCCCTCGATGCACTTGCCGCAACTAGCATGAGGAAGGATTTGGCCACGGCCTTGTGCTTCTCTGCTTCTGGGAGGACTTGCAGCTCCAAGCCTTGCCATGTTCATGCAGCACTTAGTCGCGGATGTGGCAGGGGAGGAGGGTGTGCAACCCTGCAAAGCCAAGTGGGTCGGGCTTCTCTGAAAGCACCTCAAGCGAAGTGCCCCAGACATCCCCAAACCGAGGCAAAAGCGATCCAGAGCTGCGAGCAAAGCAAAGCCATCTGCACTTCCATCCTCCAGGAGGGCCTGGAACACGACTCTCATAAGCTCGGGGTTTGCCTTAACCCTTCAACTAACGGCTGAGCTGTCAAGCCAGAAAAAGGCGTGCCTCGGAGATCAACAAAGTCTGGGAGAAGCTTTGCAAAGTCCACACGCTCTGCTCTGGGGTCTGCGAGCGGAGAAGATTGGAATGCTGCCAGCTTTGTGCAAAGCCCTGCACCCCCGAAAGGTCGCGTCCTGCGTGGGATTCCGCACAGCCAGAGTGGCCTCAACATGAGACGAGGAGTCAGGAGACCATCGGCGCATGGGCGTGCGCCCATGCTGCAATGGGCGAGTCTCAGGCGACGTAAAGCTTCTCGATGGCCATGGCCGGAGCTCCTACTCGGAGGCCGAAAACCTCCCGGAGCGAAGTGTCATCCGCTACAGGCAAGAGTTGCGTCTCTGGTGGTGGTGCACAGAAGTGCCAATAAGGCACTGTGAGGCCCTTGCCGCCACGGTGCTGACGCCAGGGTCAGCAGCAAACCCCTGGCAAGGAAACTTGCCAGTACGTGCCTTGCTTCCCTCTCGCGCTCCCTGTCAAGGAATGTGCGACGCCAAGAAGTGGAGCCATGGCCAGGGCACCTGACCAAGCTCCAGAGCAGACCGCTGCTCGAGGCTGCAGTCCACATCGCTCCGTTGAGCTCCGTCCTCGTTTTGGTGGGTCTGTTTGTTTCGGGCCGATGCCTGTTCCTTGTGCAACACTCTGGCAACTTGTTTTCAAAAAATTGGACACTTCAAGAACTAGAAAATTGCTCCGATCCATGGAGCCTAGGTGCGCATTGTTTAAATTTGGAGGTTAGGCATTGGGGCATGACAGACAAAAGGCATTTCGATTGTGAATTTCCATATATCCTGCAGGTACTGTAAGAGCTAGATTCGCGGTTAGATGGTCGAGTTGATGATGCCACGACAAGCCGGATGCTGTGCCCTTTTTTCTGTTTTGTAGCGAACCCGAACACTCGGAACACACGGGAATATTGTGGTGCAGTCTGCAACTCTCAAGACTTCTGCCAAGGCCTGGCGAAACATGGACCTCTTAACGTACTTGGTGTGTCTGCACGTGGAAGTTGGAATATGCCTACTTGTATGGCGAGGACACAACCTTGACTTCGGTATGACAGTTTTAGCCATGCCAGCGATCTCCTGCACTGCAGATTCGGCGGCCTCTGTGATCCCGAACAAGTCCGGTGCAATTGGAATTGCGTTTATACCCTTGTCTATGGAACCCTGCTTGCGACAATCCAAAGACATCAGGCCTCCGTCAGAAGGAAGCGAAAACAGTTTCCTGTGGGAGTCACTCGATACACACCTCAGCGAAGGCTCGACAAGCAGTGGCATATGCATGCTTGCAAAAAGCTTACAGTACCAGTCTCCGGGCGGTCGGACTGAATGAATCGTCTGGCAGGAAATCCTGGCAACAAGCGGTGGGAATCGCCAAGATCGTGAACACTTGCAGAGTCTTGGCAATTTAGAACCTTTTGGCCAAACCGTTAAAGGTCGGCTCTTGCTGGAGCTGATTTTACGGATTCCGGCGGGCCGAAGCTGTTTGGACATGACAATGGCCGCGTGGGCTCCGCCTGGCAGGGCATCGAGCCGTCGCTCGTAGATTCCTCGGTATAAAGAACAACGGCAACAGGGGACTGCACGGGAATTCCTGAGAAGGAGATACCAGTAGCCGCAGCCTCAACATGCTTTCGTGGCAGGCTCGTGAATCTCACGGCTTTTTCAGGTTTCGACCTGGATGCATTCACCAGACCTTGGAAGGTCGCAAAGTGTTGCGCAAGCCACTCGGACTCACCCTTTGGCTGCACTCAGCTGGAGGCCTGTCGCCGATCCCTACTCGAAAGAACTCACAGCTGTCCCGCTGTGAGCAGGCCGCCTGCAACCCAGCGTTGAATGCATTGACAAAGGGCCTCTCGGTGCATCTACCCGGCATCGCAGGCACAGAGGGTAAGTAAACCATGTGGAGATGCCCAAATTAAGTCACGGACTTGGCATTGGCTGAAAGTGTAGTCAACGCCTGCGCTGCAAGAAGCATTCGAAAAAGGCTGCTGCTCCTGCTCCTGCTGATGGCTGTCTTCCTCTTGCTATGTCCTTCTGACTCTCGCTCTTGCTATTCTTGCTAGGCTCACGGGCTGGTGTTCTTGCAGTTCTTGTTGATGCTATTGTATAGCCAGCCGCGGCTGTTGCTAGGCAGCTGCTGAGCATCGTCGTTGCTCGTCATGGTGGTGGTAGGGTCGTTCAGCCGTTGGTTGTGCTGCCGCTCCAAGAGATTGACGGACTGCCATCCTTGCGTCCGATGCTCGACCGAAGCAGACTTGCACTCTCAGCTCCTGCATAAAGCGCGCCTTTCAGGTCCATTCGATGAAACTGATATGCAATTATGCTGTTTCCATTGACTCATGGAGCCCCGTGCGGTGCCTAGGAAAATCGACTCGCCGACGCAGATGGCACTCGCCTCTGCCACGGCATCAGTGCAAGGCTCCCGAGGCACACGAAATCTTGACCATGTTATTCGCTGGCCTTTACCAGTACGCCTCGTGAAGTGCGAGGCACGGATGCCATGAGTTCGAAGCCTCTGGGCGGTGTCAACCTCAAGGGAGCGAGGAGGAACCTCTTTAAGCGCGCTGCTCTGAGCTGGGGCCGAAGCTGAAGCGCACCACCGGACGGCACAGGCACAGACGGTTGAAACAGAACCTGCAACAAGCATAGGAGTTGAGTCATCTAGCAGAAGAACTAGAAGTGTGCTGGATACCATACGTAGAGTTTCTGACCCTCTGCAGCGCGACGTAGTGATCACTTAAGGCCTGGACTGTCGAACGGAGAGCATACGCAACAAACCTCTATTAATTATGAATGCAAGTAGATAATCAGACATGACTCGTACGGGTAGCTTGTTTGTACCTGACTTTCCTATGCAAGCATGTTGTAACGAACTATAATGTGCAGAGCTGCTGTGATCTCAATGTACTGTCAATAATTGCATGTACATAGACAGAAGCTGAGCTGAGTGCTCCGAGCCCGGACACATGTACAGGTCAATTAAAGCCCGCAGGACGGTTGGATAATGGAGGGGCACACCTGCAGCAGGTTTGGCGGCGCTTGGCCGATTCGCTGAGCTGCACCGGCAAACGAGGCCGAGATAGCAAGCCTTGGCAGCGTGTGGCTCACCAAACACCAAACCCCCCTCGCCATCCCTCGCCTCTCTCTTCGGGCATGGTGGTACGGAGCAAGATACGGAACGACGCTTAGCTTCGGACTGCTGAAAAGCCTGCGCTGTCAAGCTAATACACACGTGAGGCAGCCAGCGTCAACAACTGGAACAGTACCAGCTGAGTACGTTGGCTATGCGCACCTGCATCGTGAACCCGCGAATTGGAAGAGAAGCTTGCTGCCCCAATTGGAGCCTCCATGCCTGCGGTTCTGACCAGCAGGCATGTGCGGCAGGTCATTATGAGGAAGGCCTATGCCATTAGGGGCCCGATCTGCCGTCTCAGCTCCCTTTCGCATGCGGCGTCTGACCTGTATGACCTACTCCGTGCTTGCAGCCTGAGGCAGTGCACGACACACTCCTCAAGGTTGGATTTCTTGAGTCACTTGCGGCCACGCGGCATTGTTGGCTGGGCTTCGGTCTGCGTTCTGCACTACCAAGCCTTGACGAGAGCTTTGCCAAGGATTCGCTGAAGCGGGGCCAAGAATCATTTCATGCAGTTCTGTCTCCAAACCTCGACAAAGCTAGTGCTACGCAATTTTATACAAATACCTTGAGGAGTCTGATGGCAAATGATTGTTCTAGTTGGGTGCTGAAACAACATAAGCCACATGATGACATCATGGCTTTTGCACGCGGCAGAAATGCGAGGAAGGACCCGGCTCCACCGGCACCAATGAAACCGCCCGACTTCGAGATAACATTCAACTCTATTCAGTCAGTAAAAGGTCTTGTCGGCGCCAAGTTGCGGAAGGCATAGAAACGCGAGATCTCCACCAAGCCTTCAGACCTTTGCATACGGATTCGCTTCGAGAGCATCGAGACGAATGTTCACTCTCCAAGTGCCGAACAGGGTGAGGAAGGCGGCATTGCCGTCCGGCGATGTCGCGCAGGCCACTTGCATGGACGATGGGAACAAGGCAAAGGTAGTCGGATCCTTGCTGGAAGTTAGATACTTCGTTCGAGGCATGCTCACATCCACTTCAACAAGACACAGGCTCCAGAGTGCTGTCGAGCCAAGTCGCTGGGGAGCCGCTGCGGCCGAAAGGGTCAGCAATGTTCACTGGCGGCCTGGGCTGCTCTTGTACGAGGCGAGCGATGTTTCACCACGAGTCACGAGTCGTTTGCCTCGTCGAATCGTGGTTGTCTGCAACCTCAGCCTTCGGCACACCGGTGTTAGCATCTGGAGCGAGGCAGTTGTTGGAGTCGCTCCAGGGAAGCCTCGCAACCAAGCCCAGAAACGTGTCCGTTGACCTACTTGCGGGCCACGATGCCACGTCAACACACTTTGCAGCACACTCGCACATGTGACTTTATGTGACTTTAGCCCAGCCCTATAACCATAATCCCGTAGATGGTCGGGACCTTTGAAGCAAAGTCCTAGCGTCACTTTTCTCAAAGCAGCGCGCATGGCTCAGGCTGATTCTGACTAGCCCTGTTAATCCCTTTCTTTGGTTCCATTCGGAGCACGTGCTGCACGTGGTAGCTATGCAGGGAGATCGAGAACCTGCTCCTTCGAAGGGTATCTTGGCAAAGGTTGGAGAGAGTAAAACATCTCAAACAGCCACAGCTTCAGAACTCCGAGTTCTGCGCCTTTGGCGCCAGAACTGGCAAAGTCGACAAAGACAACTATCTGGTGGCCTTTCCAGCGAGAGATGAAGCATTGTCAAGCATCCTCAAAGCCTGCACAGGACATCCCGTGAAGCAGCACAGCTCTTTGGCCGTTGGAATTTTTTGGCCTGACCGTGGCTTCTCACGTTTCCGCATCGCCCCTATCAGCCACTGCAGTCGTCGCTTCAGCGACTGGCTCAGCAACACACTTTGTTTCCCACGTCTCCAGGCTGGAAACCTCATCAAGAGGCACGTGCGTGGAGAGACTCTGCTGACAGAATTTAAGGATGCATCATCTGCCTTTAGCTTCGGCACCGATCGGACCGTCTAGCAGGTGCGTTTGTAGGACATGTCGATAGCTTTCTCAAGAGCCCCCAAACTCACAAAATAGGATTCAGGATGACTTTCCTAGGCCTTGTGACGAAAAGCCTTGCTACAGTGGTCGCATGCCAAATTCCGTTGTTGCGTCCGAACACAAGCTGGAAAGCATCAACAATGAAAGCCTGGAAACGAAAATCGCAAGCGCACTCAGCAGAAGGCCATTTGCTCCTGAACAGGAGACAGCATTACAAGACCGTTGCCCGGTGCAGGCGGTGACACTTTCTCCCTCTGAGTTACTGTCCGAAAAGCAAGGCTGAAACATGCGTCTGGCAAGTCATGTCTGACTCTGGCAATTAAGCAGTATCTCTCGTTGAATATCAAAGGTTCTCTATTTCGACCAGCTCCTCCAACGGCTCCAATCACATCCCAGATGGTCTGCCCAGGCAGTTTCGTGTACCTCCAGCCACCAAGCTATCGCAACCAACGCTGGTGTGGACCGCACCGGTCTCTGTGGTAGTGGAGGTCAGCTACAGCTTGTTTTCATCCTTGAGACAGGTATCACTTGGGGCATCCGCAGCAGTCGCAGGTTCAGCCGTGCTCCAGGCCAACCCTGCACCCGGCCATCGTACTGCATGCTGCCTGAGCTGCTTCGAAGTCAGATTACCAGACTGATGAGAAAACGAGCCGGAAAGAAGCTCATTCACAAACTCGCTGCTCTCCATAAGGGAAGCGCCAGTTGTGATACTGTCTTCATGGAATTTAGCTTGCAGCTGTAGCCTTCAACGTCACCTTAAGCAGCCAGGTACCGAGATAGAGCTCTCGCTGCAGATTGCAATCAGCAGAAGAAGTGCAGTCATCCGCGTCCCGTGTCACCTTCTCACTGGCTTGGGCTGCCATGCTTGCCGAAAAAGGGAGCGGAATCCAGTGAATCAGGCTGCATCACTTCACATGTTGCATGCTTGGCTTGGACTCTGCGAACCTGCCTTCAAGCCCAGGAGTAATGTCTTTTCCTGGGTTCCGTCATGGCAACAGTGTGCCATCAAGGTGAGACTGTGTCAGCGACGATAGCGACGAACGAGTTCACACAAGAAATCGCAAGACCGTGCCCGGCAGTTTTCCATGACACTGCATGCTCAAAGCCACCGAACATCTATCCGACAATCCCAGGATGCTTCCAGTGTGCCAAGACGCGTGCCACCACTCTAGGGGGGTGGTAACCACCAGGGACGGGGCCCTGACGATGACGTTCGCACGATTGCCCTGGCCTGGCACTTTGTTGAACAATTTTGCACCAGCAGTGCGGAAACATGCTGCGAGAGCGCCTCCTGTAGTCATATTCCAGAGAGAGACGACAATGCCAGAAGCTTCGGAAATGTCGTCGGAACCTGAATTTGGGAACGGCAGGTCGCAGCTTTGAAGCACAGCACAGGATTCGATGTGTGCTGCCGGTAGATTAGCGTCGCATCTGCGAAATGATGTGCTCAGTCAGCACTTCTTCCAAGAGGTGCAAGGCTCAGAAGATCGTCGGCTCAGCTTTAAGATAGCACCGATCGAAGGCAAGGTTACAGGCAAGAGTTGAATCCACGGTTTGCATAGAATTGCCGTTATGATCATGGTTAAAAGCACCCCACTTGCGGTATTGCAACAAACGATGCAAGAACATCGTCCGGAACGCTAGCTCTTAAGATTCCCTGGGACGCCGGGATACTTCCTTCCGTAGGCATGAGTGCCTAAGAAAGTTTATGTGCTTGCGAAACAGGGCAAACTACTCTTCCCCCAAAAAAGCATCAACCTTTTTCATCGGAACGTCGGGGCTTCGTGCCGGGATGTTCGTGGGCTTGATAAAGTTTATGTGGGCCGCCCAAGCAAAGCGAAAACCCTCCTACATACAGGAAGCACTTACACGGATTGTATGTGCAGCCAGACGGCCTGTCTGTTAGAATCTCTCCTCGCGAATGGAATATACTACTAATTACTAGTCCGGAGCTTAAGCTGGGATCTATCCGCTCGCGCACAACACCCGTGGACCTGTAAACTGGCAGGGATCTGCCTTCTGGCTACGTGTCCCAACTATGGGAACCCAGCACCGAAAGTTTATGTTTATGTGGGTTTTTGGCTCGGGATGATTGAGGTCAGCTTTCGCACGAATCCCACAACGAAGTCTGACATCATTCTGCACATCTGGAGAACGCTGAGTGAGTGGCTGTAGCATAGTGTTGCCTTGGAAAGCCTCTCATCCACGGTGTGATTCTCTGCAGCTTCAGCGCAATGCGGGTAGATTGCAGCATCATAGCCATGCCTGCCGATTCTGACAATTTTAATGCGCTGCTGCACACATCCGAGCGACAAGCCGCTCTTGCTTCCCGTTGTACTCTCACTTCTACACCTCCCTATGCCGGATAGAGTTAAAGCACGTCCACTTTAGGAAATGGATGGCGCTCTCCCTACCTACCCTAAGCCTTTGCAACACAACACCCCTCAAACCGAACTCGAAGTGCTGTGGCCATGGCACCAGACTCGCCAGTGCTCCTCCCCTTCGGTGAAGTTCGCTGATTGGAAGAAAACGCAGGAAGGGCACGAAACTTCGAACCTTCTCGGGCTGCCAATAGTTTTCCGCCCATTGAAAATATGCTCCGTCGTAGATACGTCAGATACGTAGTTGACACGTTCTCTGTACAAGACATGCAAGAAAAACAGAATTAATGAAACCAAACCCAGCTAAATTTCTCGGCAAGGCAGCTCCAGATCGAGAGGTCCAAACTCCTCTGAGCTGAGAGGCTTTGTGCAGCTAGTCACAGCAACAGTAGCAGCCACGAGGCACATGCTTGCATGGACAGAAAGGCTTGTGGTCATGTGGGAGTCCCTACCGACCTTGGCTTCCACCACCGAGTAGGTCTCCACAATGGGAGCTGTAGCCCAAACCAGCAAAGCTCTCCTGAGCTCTGACTGCTTGTCGGGGCCAGGGACAAGTGTTTGCTGAATGCCGAGAATGGGCCACGATGCAATGTGCTGGCCGGCAAACGCTCCCGTTCTATCCAGTGTGCTGAAAGCCGTACAGTATAGACAAGGACTGTTTGCAGCCCGCCAAGCCGCACAGTGTACAAGATCAGCGCCGCTGCATACAGCAGCATGCCCACCCAATGCGAGAGCACGCCTCCCGGTAGACATGCCAAGTGACTGGGCACATCTGAACACTTACGAATCCTTACGCCCACAGGCGGAATAGCCATAGCCCGCACAGAGCAGCATTGAGCCAGGTACATCACGAAACAAACTTGCTTCCCGTGATGAGCCCCCGCCCCGGCCCAGAACACGTCGCAAGGACCGACGTGACAACTCCGACGCCTCTCACTGGATTTAGAGGAACTTGTCTGAAGGGGCTGAGCTTCGCTGCTGCCTCGGCTGTTGGCTAGCACCATGGCTGCTGGAGATGACAATGCAAACCCGAATCCAGAATCGGGTCGGTCCTGAAGTACCAACCTCAAGCAAACTCCGTGGTATGGGGGTGAGGGGCACGGAGTGCCATGCTGACTCCGTCGTCAGCTTCGAGGGGCCGCTGGCAACTCTACATGGCAGAGGCACCCGAAGGCTTCAAGTGATGCCTGACAGACATGAACTCCTACATCAATATGCAGGATTACGCTTTTTGCATTGGCAACAAACATGAAGACCACAAGTTTTGCTGCTTCCAAGCCCGTCTCGCGAACATAGGAATGACGCTTTTCACGCCAGCCGGCCTATACGGTTCTAGCCTGGCCTCCCACCTTCACACAGTTCCTGTTACGGTGCGGACACATGCCGACGACTGCGGATGCACGCCACACGAAGCGAGTCTGCATCGATTCGCAGACTGAGCAGGACCAGGCCTGAAACCGTCTGGAATGTAGACCTCAATAATTTGGGATTCAGCCAGCAGCCATGATCGAGCTGAGTCTGTCTTCTGCCCGAGGAGCTAGTTTCAACATGTCGCCAACGGCCTTCCGAAATGTGGCCACCGTTACCCACTCTTGGGGTTTGATCACGCCCGGACGCTTCCCGTAGCGACACAAGATTCACCATGTATTACAGAGCACGGCAGCCTCGACAGCACGACATTCAGCAAATTGAAGAACAGCGTCACAAGCCACCAATCATCAATTGAGTTCATGGTTCAAAAGTGCGGAGGCCAATGTGTACATCAGTATGTCAGGTTCTGCTTCGAATGACACACCACACCTGGGGTTTTCATGGCATCCTTGGCCAAACACCTCGTTTTACTCACAACTCAGTCCACCACATCGAGTACTGCCATGTATCGTAATGCACACGCAGCGGATATCGCGCGTGTGTATGACAATGACACTCCACGTTGCAGTCTCAACCATGGAGAACCTCGCCAACCTGCTTCTCAAGCATCCAATATGGTGTAATTGTAATTTTGTGGGTGTTTGCATAGCCCATAGCACGGTGTTGCACACTACATGCACCACACGTCGCTGCATTCAGAACCGTGTCAACATAGTTCGAAGATTTGCCCGCAATCGTGGCATGTTCTTATATCAGCACCTGCCAGACACCAAAGGCAGAACATAACCGATATCATCACAGAATGTTTGCTGCTTTTGCCCGTCCTACGGGGCCGGCTCTGGATGGCTGGTTCCCGAGTGCTGGAACCGGGCCGGCAGTTGCTGATTCGTGTGACTGATACGCAGCAGCGACATGCACCGACTGCGTCCGCATTGCATGTCGTTATACACGTCGACCGACATGTTCCTAGAGCATGCGGAGCTGTTCACACACTCTGCAGGTCAGCAGACGTCACAGAACGTCGCATCATCAGCGCAGCAGTTTTGCATAGTGGCACAGTTTAGCCCTCCATCATGCGCATGGAAGTGTTGTTTGAGTTTCGCTGGTAAATCGCCAAGCCACCCACTCACTTTCTTCTGCATTGCTTCCCCCGCTTCTCGCCCTACACTGCACTTCACACCTCCCGCCAATATCTCATCTTTGACGATAGGAATTTGTTGTCTGGGCTTCCCGCGCTCAGCGTCTGTCCAGCAAGGGAAGCCTTGGACTCAAGCCGAGTGTCGATGTGGTGTTGTGTAATTATTGTGTAATTCAGGCCGTTCGCTCAGAATTTTTGAGCACGATCCTTGAGGTGAGGCCGAATGGGACCTGCATGGCCCTGCCATATTCGGTGCTCTGCCACCCGAGGCTCGGACCAAAGACTGCTGGAAACAAATCACAACTTGGTTCAAGGCACCGCGCCTGAATCCAGCAACAGCACGCCAACACAAGAATCGGTCAGACAGCTTCATTTCTGCATATGCGCTGCAAGTGATGCTATGCTACAATGGCAGCAAGGCGCACCCTTTCGTGAAGCCGGTCACGGACAGGTCGAGCAACTCTGTGTCAATGAAGGCATCGTCTTAGTCTGGAGATGTCTGAAGTCTTGCGAAGCGGAGGTCCATTGGCACGGCAAGGAGTAGAGTCGAGTAGAGGCTGCAGCAGGGCAGCTGGAATACAGGGCGCGAGCTCAGCAAACCTATCCATCCCCAACATGAATCCACAATGCAGGAAAGCCAGGTCCCAGCTGTGACGTCCCCGAGTTCCCGGCTCATGGCTACCAGTACAGAGAAGCTGGCAAAAGCTCTTGGGCTGTCCTGGAGGGCGTCCACAAACTTATTCTCTCTTCGGTCTCTGGGTGTTCCGGGACTGGGACTGACCTGAAGAATCGACGATCACTGATCCGTTTTAATAACATCATGCTCTTGCTGTCGTCGTCAGCCACAGCTGGACGTGTTGGACGGATGCGCAGCTGAGCAGCCCTTGAAGATACTGGAAGTTGTCTTTCATCCGCATGAACCCCTTTTTTTATGAGGGTCCATGCATGGCCATCCCCTCTCGCCAGCTCTTGTTTAATCAGGCGGAAATCGCGCCCTGTCGTGATGTCCTTCGAGAATCGACATCGGCAACGCTCGACTCCCTGCGTTTGACCCGCCCCCCCCCCCCCCCCAACCCCGTTCGGTGCCCGACGGACATGGAGAGGGAGGGATGGGCAACTATCCTTGTCCAAACTGTCGCATTCCGCCAAAATTACATGTCGCCGCTGCTGTTCATCAAGACTCCCAGTGAAGCTATGGCAGCTGGTCCAAAAAGGAGACGGATGGGCTGCCAATGCTGCTTGCAGCAAGCGCTCCTGCACGCGTTTTTGGCTCTCGATCTCTACTTACATGCTTCTGATCTGCGACACAGCATGAGGACGAGCTGCAAAAGTGTTCGCAAGGAGACATGCAAGTGGCCAGAAGACCAACCAAAACAATGACCGACATTCGATGCCACACAGCGCACTCACTTTTGCTTGGAAGTGCCTGCTGCCACTGTGTATGCTTGCCACTGGAACCTGCAGCGCCGGAAGGTGCCGCAATCAGGAACAAACAGGTGAACGGCTCGGGAATCAAGGCCGGAACTTCAGGGGGCGGAGGCGTCCATCTCCAAACCAGTTTGGGGAATGCCGGGGGCTCAGGTCTCCGAGTCGCTGTTAATCGGATACAGTGTCGATCCGATTCACAGTCCTAGGTCGCCGGTGTTCCAGCTCAAAGGTCGACTTGACACGACGGGTGGCGTCTCACTGGCGGCTTCGTCTTGCAGATACAGTAAGGTAATATCGCGTGGCTCTTGACTCGTGACGGCCAAATTGAATCCACCACAAAATTTCTACCCACGAACACGTCTAATGCCAATGTCTAAGGTGGCAGCAGCGGATCGTCTGCGGCAATTGTCCGTAAGTTGCGGACCGCGCGCCTCAAAACTTGCAGCACAAAGGAATGCAGCTCGCTCGTGTCCACGGAATGTGCAAACACTGAGGCTGACACACAGTGAACAGGTAGGTGTTTGCCGGTAGGGCGCCCAACTGCAGGACGACCTCATGGACCCCCGACGACCCTATCTTCGCACACACAGACATGGGTCTACGCATGTAATCGGCCATTGCGTTCAATTTTCCAGGGTGGCCGGCTGCGGCTCCAAGTGCCGAGGAGGCGCAGGAAGCACCGGCAGATCTGGCATGTCCACCATGAGAAGCGTGCTCTTGAGGTGATGCACAGGGCTGAAGCTTTGTACAAGCTGAATGCCGCAGCCGATCTGCGAAGCAGAAGAAGAATCAGGAGTGACATAGAATGTGCTGGGCAGGCAGGCTCTGACTGTGTGGTGTAAACCTCCACGACACAGGAAACGGAAACCCGTATCAAGAATGACAATGATGGCTGTGTTTATGCTGTGGTTCAAGCGAGCCGTTCGGAACTCCGGCAGGGGAAGACCAAAGATCGACAATGCGGCGCTATTCGGCACCTCCACCTGTTCATGTCAACGTTCTGTGAAGAGAACGCTGCGGGCAGAGGGAACTAAACTGCTGGCTTGAGTGGTGCGAAAGTCTTGCACAGCTCCGTGTTATCACGCTCTGGCAATCGTGTGAGATTCTGCAGCGACATAAACTTCAACTCTAAGCTTTGGCTAGAACACCATGATTTCTCGAAATGCAACTATCTGTCGTCCGCCTGGCATGGATTCGGAAAGTCGAACACATCGATTGGTGGCACCAAAACAATGGCACCTCCAACCGGCACCTGCAGCTGACTGTGAGCGAATGAAACGGCGTGACTTGGCGGCGCAAAATGCAAGACTACTTCAGTTTGTACCCACTTGCAATTGCTGTCACGACCTCTGTGATGGAATTACTGTGGCAGCGTTATTGTGTGCATCTAAATGCTTCTTCTGGTGAGGGATCAAACCTGGACCAGCAGAGAATCAAACCCCACAAATCAAAAAGACTTCAAATCTGAATCAAAAATCAAAAGCCAGCATTTACAGCAAATGCAAATGGGGCAGGATTAATGGCTTAGGCTGGCTCGCTTAACTCGTGCTAGTGAAAGATGTCCAAGCATGACAGGGTGGGTTGAATAGGTTTGTTGTTACGACAGCGCACTCTCCAGGATTTTATATGCTGTGGCCGACATTTCGAGCTTTTACTACAAGCTCTGCTAAGAATGTGCTGGCTATTGCGACAGTACTCTGAAGCAGGAAACTGCCAGCAGTCGAGTTGGGCGGAGGCGCTTTTCTTAACATTGGCTCTCGTTTCGCTTTTTGACACTGGCTGTAGACCCTGGCTGTGAGCCCTTTTGGCAGGCTAGGACTTCTGCGATTACAGGGGTTCCAGGTCTTGAAAGGCTATTCTGCCCTTCTGGTGAAGGTTCTTTTCTCAGTCTGGGTGTTGCCGTGTGACCATCGCGCCGGATGTCAGAAGGCATCAAGCAACAGGAGCTATGAACTGCTCACAAGGGTCAATCCGCTGATGCGCTCTGTGTGTGTGTGTGTCCGTGTTCGGAGGTCTGTTCTGCCTCGCCTGACGGCTGTCGTGACAGCGGAAAGTTCGCAGCTTGTCGAACACTTGTTCAAGTCGATGGTAGATTGTCAGACATAAGTTGATGGGCTCAGGGCCAGAATGTGGGGCGTGGCATGTTGCAGCCTCACCCGTAGAAGCCATAAGCTTGTTGTCCAGCCTCTGCCACTGTGGTCACCGAGAATGTAATGTCGTTCTCTGCCTGGAGTTCTGAAGGCACCGGCGTCATGTTGTAGAAGCTACCCCTAAAAGGGTTCTGCGTGCCCTTAGGAAAAACCTCGCCTGGCTGAACATGCCCAAACTGCAGCATGTCAGCAGCAGATGATTTGCCAAAGGCATGCAGAATGTTAGGCACCCGGCCCCTACGACGGCCTGGGCGAAGTGTGCACAGCTTCTGTTTTCCGAACTTCACTACCTACCACAATCAAGCTCGCTCTTTCCCTTCTTCAGCACAGTCAAATCCTGCCGTTCCACCCGGAAGTTCCCACGGGACCTACAGTTGGCTTCGATCAAAGCACCTTCTAACCTTGGGTCACCGTCATCAGAGGCAGCAGGGTCACTTGCATGGCTGCTGTGTTTTGAGTCATGCAGGAGCTCGATCTGAGAGCCAAATCTAGACTCCAGACGGTCAAATTCGCGTGATGCTGAGTGGCCCAACGTTCGAAGCTTCAGCCGCTGCGGCGAAGATTCGCCGCACTCGACGCGGAGGCTCAAACGTCCTGAGATCCCGGTTCTGCCTCCCATCAAACTGAGGCTTTTCCGCATTGTCAGGTCAGAGGACCAAGCTTTTCACAACAGATCATCTTTGGGCGCTTGGGCCGCGCGCACATGGCAGCCCAGCCAGCGGGAGGCTGGAGCCATTCCAGGGCTCACGGTGAGCTCAGAAGCTATCCTGGCTGGAACATCCGCACCGTGTGCTGTAATCTACTGATTCTTAGAAGTTTATAGAGCCGATCTTCGGGAAACATCGTGTGGGCGAGTGCGCCCTTCTGCGTCAGTGGCTCAGCCAAAGAACTTCCGACTTACTGTATCATGGCTCTACAAAGGCAGATGTGGTGTATTGTCGAGTTTCCCGCCATGTGAGGTGTGTTATGGCACCCCGCCGCCTCAAATGCCAGGTGGATGCACTAGGAAGCTCGCCAGATCCTGATTGCAGCATGCACGGCCTTGACATCGAGAGAGAGAGAGAGAGAGACACGCGAATGCACACACACACACATAAACAGAGAGGCAACTGATTGACTCAAGCAAGGGGTCGCTGTCATTCTCGCGACGACACCGTCAGGAAAAACTCTAGTGAACCGTCGAAGAAGAGGCAACAAACTTATGTCTGCACGCCAGCCACTCATGTCAGCTATGCCAAGGCCGCCCTGACTGAAATCCCCTGTACACTTGCATATGTATGTTCCGTAACTTGAGAAGACCTGGTGCGGTGCATAGCCACGACATGTCGGCAAAATTTCAGAGTACGGAAACAGTGGTATACAGCAAGCGAAAGCCGTACGACCTAATCTTGGTGTCGCACATATGCACACTTGGACCTGCACCGACAAGGACATACATTGACATACATAGACCCACCAGCAAAAGCCAAAGCGTCCTTGAGGCACATCTGGATTCTGCAAGGGGACGATGATGCCAGCTGTGATGGTTATTTCGTCCATGGCAGTCAGGAGATCGGTCGTGGAGATGCACAAGATGTCCCTGCCATCTCCAGAGCAACTCTGGAATTCAAAAGTTGCGCCTAACTGTACACCTTTGCGGTGGGCAGTGTGTTCTCTGCTAGGGTTTCGCTCACTGCTGCAAGGACGCCATCAAGCGAAACTACCTGCTGCCAGTCTTCCTGCGTACGCTTGGCTGACAGAGGGCCAAGTCGTTTAGACAAAGCTTCACAGTCTGCTATCGCGCAACATTCGATACATCAAAGCACCGATGGGAATCTGCGTCACTGACCAATTGCGGCTATCACACACTAGCGCTTCAGCTCTTGAACAATGATGGGTTCACTTTAGATATCCTGCTAGCAACCAAGGCCCACGCTGCCGGTCAGCAACACAGGTTCCGATTGCAGTGAGGTTTGCCATGGCCACAGCAATGGAGTTCGGACCTCTGAGGAAGCGGCGGGGATGTCAACATGTGGGGGGGCTTTCTAGGATTCTATTACTATCTATTGTAAACTTGCTCAGGCTGCAGAAAGTTGTGAAGGCACGGGCTTCCAATCGGGCCGCTACTGGCCTTCTGTGAATATCCAAGTAATTTGTATGGAATGGCTTGGGGCGGCCACCCCGTGCCACTTGAGCAGACCATGACGATACCGGCATGACCCAGCCTGGCCACACGTGCGTGCTGTGTGCACAGGGGAATCAGGTTTGGAAAGCAGCTGCAAGATTGATACATCATGCTTGTCGGAACAGGCTGCGCTGACAGAACTCGTCAGGAGGTGGCAAGCATGCACTGTCTGTAAGCTGCAAGCTGTAACCAAATGGAGCTTCGACGTGAAGATACAGCCTGGAGCAGTCCGACTGCACAGCTAAGAGTGTAGCACTGAAAGGCCAACTAATGGCTGTTGCTATTGCTATCACGTAACATGTAACATCAACCATTGTAGTCCACTCCGGAAGCCGCTTTCCACCGTGCAAGTCGAAGTGAGCAAACAGGCTGAAACATTGAGCAAGTGGGTCAAGCATGACAGCGGGGAGAACGACAGTGCGCCGCGCACTGGCTATACGACAGTACTCCAATGAGATGTGCCGAGTGCTGCCACTGGTCTGGAGCTATGCCGCATGCCAGCACGACATCGAAAGTCTTGTGGAGAGCTCAGAAGACTAGATCTGACAGGTAAGCTTGACTTGAGTTTGAAAAGGGGTTCCCCGGTTCCCCAAAGAGGCCTTGACTGACTGAGCCTCGAGCACGGCTGGGACAGGCGAAGGATGCTGCGCGCCTGGCCTCGCAGTGCGTGTGGGCGCCCGGAGTCTGCTAGGACTACGTCACTGGAGCGTGCAGCGCATGTCATCGCGCCTGAAAGTCAGCGTGGCAAGTGCTTCCTGCTCTGGCTCTGTCGTCGACAGGCCTCTGTCGGATTGAATGCACTCCACCGGGGCTGCTGACCCGAAAAAGCATTCGAGATGCAGGAAACCATGAACGTCATGTCTCCTTCCCACCTTATCGTCAGTACTCGTGCATTCTTAAGGTCACGACGCACGGATGCTTCAGCGCAGGCGGACCTGCAGCCACTTTGCCACGAATCCAACCGCTGCACTGCTCAAGGGGTAGTTTCTCGTGTTTACTCTACAGACTCTACAGTGCTCTTCTAGACCGAGAGAAAGTGTACTTGTATGCACGACTTGGTATCGCTCCGCTAACATTGATCTGCAAGATTCAATTCTGCCAGGCTGCGGGAAAACATCGGGCCCAGGTATTGCAGGAAGAGTGTCGCAGGGCGAGGCATCCTGGATTGCTCTTCGGCATTGATGTCCACTTTGACAGATTGGGATCTGGGAAAGGCGTACTGGCAGACTTCGGATGCGGGTCTCAGGCGAACAGGGCTGCACAGTGCATGGCACAACAACGTCGATATCATCGGTGGCGACTTACCCCTGCATACCCCTGCGACTATCAGCCTTCGAAGCACAGGGACCCTGCATCCTACACGCTGCATCCTCCGTCTGAGTCTCCAGGGCGAAGGTTCCACGACCGTTCACTTCTTCAACCTTCCAACACACAGGTTCCGGCCAAAGCATCTGGCACGAGACTCATGTTGCACTTATGGCTTGCGTAGCCGAGGCGATGACCCAAGCCCCTGGAAAAGACGGAAGCATGGCGAAGACTGCAAAACCGTACCTTCAAGACGACTCATGGCGGAGATCACAACCGCATGGACTCCTAAGTGAAATCCTGAGTCGGCCGCTCTTGTGCCAATAATCGTGACAATGGAGGTAGGACGATCGTCGCAATGTCGCTGGTCCAGGAGAAAGGGCCTGCACACAAGCTGATGGCAGCCTGCGCGGCCAAGTTACAACAAAAAGATAACATATTTGAGATACTGTTGTGGCCACATGCTTCCATCGCCGCGGTCCGCACTTTGACTCTGGACACCGATACTTATTGTAGTGCTCAGCTGCAGCTATAACGCAACACTGCACAATGCGCTACCTGCTCGTGAGTCCTGACACTGGCTGTGGGCTGGCCTGGAGTGTTCAACATCAAAGCCAGCAGGGATCACAACTCATTTCATCACCCGTAGCGGCGTAGCCACCTTTGCTGGGTGGCTCTCGGGACCCGCACGTAGACAGCAGCGCCACCATCTCGCAGCTGCCAGGGCCTTAGACCCAGCTGGAATCTCACTGAGCAGTTTTCCGCGTGCTGACTGCATGTTTGGTTTCCAGCTCAACTCTGTGGCGAAGTCGAATCCACGAGGTGCCTGGAGCACCTTGTGCGAGAAAAATGCTGCGAACATCAGCTGAGCAAATCTTAACGCACGGCGTGTCGTTGGCTAAGCGCTGAGTCCAGCACTAAGTAGCGAAAAAAAATGCCTCAGCATGTCTGTATGGTCGCAGTAGCGCTGCGCAAACCCAGCTCGCCCCCTTCCGGATGCTGTCTTTTCGTCGGCAAATTCCTCATGCTCGCATGCGACCTCTGCCGGACACCCTCGGGTGCCAATGTGTGCCAATGCAATCTAGCTGCCTTGGACCTGCTCAGGAAGAAAGTAGACCGTGATCAGGGTCCGGGCCTCACACAGATAGATCGGGCTCCATCGCTTTTCGTTTAACAGCGTCGTGGCTGCATGACGCAGCATCTAAGCTCGAGGCGTTTGCCTGGATAGATGTGAACGAGATGGTGGCACCCAAAGAACCAGTCGAGAGAATCCCTGCCTCGCGAGTCTGGCTGGGCTGGGAAGCTGGGCGGCACTGCAGAGTCAACAATGAAAGCTCTGGTTCTATGTACGTCTACAGACTTTGAGATCAACCTCCAGGCATCGTTCAACAGATGCCGGTGAAAATAACATGTGACATGAAGCATCTGCACACCTGTCTCTGGCCAAGTGTCCGACAGAGCGATTGGTCGCAGACTCAAACGGCACAGCAGGAGCTGCAGCCACTGCCTGCAGCAGCAAAACCCAAAGCTCCCACGGGTGCGGATGATTTCAGTTTCGACTCGCACACTCGCGCGAGAACCTAAGACGGTAAACGCACCACCCAATATATCAATAAACAGCTACTGCGCCCACGCTGCCAAAAACCCGAAAGAGAGGCCCATGTTATTTTCCTCTCTCTTCTTCTTCCTCAGGGCATGAGGGGTCTGTTAAACCCCCCGGCCAGTTGGCCCCCCAATTGTTATTGGGGCTTTCGGAGGGTGTGAAAGATGCTTCTGAATTTGTTGAAGCAGTGCTTCTTGGGGGCAGATGGCAAAACTATGCAACTCTCTCTCTCTCTCTCTCTTTCTCTGGTCGGTTAAGCCCCGGGATTCAAGCCCACCCGCACTTGTTGCTCAGGAAAAGGAGTGTGAAGTACGAGTAAAATATAACCTGTCCGAAAGCTTCTGCCATAAAACATACGATAACGATAAATGACAAGTGTATACTCTCCGTGACATGTTGCTCCACTCAACACATTTCTTTCTCTCTCCCTTTCTTTCGCCAGGGCTGTGGGCAGATGTTGCCCTCTCCCCGCGGGCTCTCTCTCTCTCTCTCTCTCTCTCTCTCTCTCTCTCTCTCTCTCTCTCTGTATCTCTCCCTCCCAAGCCTTCGAAACGTCAAGCTCATCTGAAGAGCAGCACACTCGGATACACTTGTATGGCAGAAAATCTGGACAAAACCCTAAACTCCGCTGTGCTGGTAATAGGCAGGCACGGTCGAGGCGCTTTCTTTTCGGCTCGACCTGCTCGACTGTGCTGGCGTTCTGTCGGCGAACGAAGGGGTTGGAGCAACAGAACCGTTTTTAAAGGCGCGCTCGGACAAGCCGCTGTTCGGACTTGTACGTCGTCACGGCGGGTGAGGCGGGACTTGAAAAAAAACTGCCCGCACCGGCAAATTCGAGAGGTAACATCGTCGAACGGGTTTTGCCACTTGGTGCATGCACAACCAGACAAAACCCCAAACTGCGCTGTACTGCTAGCAGGCAGACACGGTCGAGGCTCGGTTATTTCGCCTGGAACTGCTCGACCATGCTGGCGTTCTGTCTGCGAACGAACGGGTTGGAGCAACAGAACCGTTTTAAACGGCGCGCGCGAACAAACCACTCACCGCGCATCTTTCCCCACCTCGGAGGGCGGTGGTTCGCCGGACAGGCTGTTCGCGACTGCCTGGTATGCAATCTGCCGGAATCGCAAAAGGTCAGGCCAAATCTCGAACGCCGGCCCCAAGCGCTTACAGCCGAGGTCGTCAGCCTCTGAAAACTTTCCTCGAGACACCTTGTCGGAGAGATTAGCCGGACTGGCCATTCGTTGAACACTTAAGAACAAGCCCTGCTTAGCCACCCTGCTGGATTTTTGGAAGACCTTTTGAAGTTGAGGGCGTGCTCAGCGGCAGTGTTGACCACGAAACACACGAGACAATCGAACTGGTCGCGGGAGATCATCGCAAAGGAGATCAACTGCGCTATCGATTTCAGCCAATAGATGTAGTCCCGCGAAGTTCTGAGACCTGTGCTCTAAAGCTTAAGGGTAGCCGCTAAACGGCTCGGGTCGACTGCAAGGGCATCGTGACGGTGCTCAACGTTACAATGTTGAGAGGCGCAGCAGCGCTGACACGCTGAGTCATCTCGAAAGAGAAGTACAAAACCGACTTGACCTGCAAGGATTTCAAAGCCTGTGCCGAGGGTCCAAACCCGTCGGAAAGGCTCAACAACGCGACCGGGCGCAAGGAAGTGCAAGTTTGAGATATCTCAGCTTTGGCCGGGAGCCTAGGGGGAGACGTGGAAAAAGGAGGCAACTCCATGGTGCCTTGTTGGGCGGTCCAACTGACAGGGCTGTAGGCCTGACTCCTCGGGGGCTTGGGGACGGCGCTGACGGGGCAGTGACAACAACGAAAGCCCTGAAGAAACCGCCACAAACTCCCAAACCACTGGAGCAATTTGCAAAACTTTGTGCCCACGGCACCCGATCGCCCGGGAGACTCCCTGCTATAGGCTCCGATCCGAAAGTGGCGGCGCCACCTGACTTGGCGTCGACAAAGCCACCAGCCGGTCCTGCCTAAGGCGGCGGTGGAGAAGGCCAGCCCGACCCTCACGACGCCCGGGTGCCGCAGCCGCAGGTGGTGAAGGTTCAGGTGACCGTCTCTTCCGAATTCCAGGACGTCATCGCGACGGAGACCTACAGCAAAGACTCCGTTCTGGGCGAAGGCATCCGAACCCTTGCTACGTGCCCGCGGCGCACGTTCAGTTCGGAGGTGGTCGTCTACGGGGGGGCCCATGCCGGGACTTGACCATTCGGTGCGGTGCTGTCAGTGTGGATGGATCTGGGAGGTCACCGTTCGCCTTGCAATGACCTGCAGCAGTGAGGCCGCGGGGACCTCGTTCGTGGACACTCAGTTCTCCCAGGCCGCGGTCGGATGTTTGCACTTGGCGTTTCGGACAAGCTATCGGAGGAGTCGACCTGGATCACCTCCTCAAGTGCCGCGTCCACAGCTGCGTCATCGAAAAGGGACGCGGCCAACGCCTCAACATTGCAGCAGCCGCCTCAGCGTCGAACGCATACGAAGACCGCGGCAAGCCTGGCCCATGGACTTGAGCCGCAGCTGCTCAAAACTGTCCATCAACCATCTATGAGCAGGCACAGTGCCGTCACCACCACCACTGCGGACGGACCTGAACGGGGATCTGTGGGGGGACCTGGCCCCACGGCTTTCGAGGATACCGCATCATGACGGGTTTCACCCCAGCTATGCTCATCCGGGCGGCTCTCGACCGCGTCGGTCCTTGCATCAGCCATGGCTGCGTGTGGAAAGTCTACTTGAACAAGCTGCTGCCCGCACCGGCAAACTCGAGAGGTAACGTCGTCGAACGGGTTTTGTCAGTTGATGCACGCGTGCACGACCATACAATATGAGACAAAGGTCAGGAGTAGACAACTCGTCATGCGTCTATGGGCTCTATAGGGCGGGCCACTGATTCCACTTTAGTGTAGTGTTCGCCCTCGGCAGTGACGCGGCCTCACCAGAAACTTGGAACTGCCAGGGTTCACGCTGCCCAGAACTAGGTGCAATTGCCACGAGTACCTCACAAAGATCAGCTAAGATTCTCCAGCACCTGCCTGCCTTGCTTCGATTTCGAGCTTCCATCAAGTCCAGGCGAATCAGTAAGACCACGGCCACTCGAACAAAATACTCAGCGCCTGGCATTAATGATCAGCAGAATCTGGGTTGCTGCTAGCTGCAAGCACGAAGCACAATGCTGCATGGAAGTTGTGCTAGTCTGCATCGGCGCAATAGCCCGCAAAAATCTCCTCATTTTACACGGTGCATGTGATCCTTCCCGACCACTTTCGTCACCCCCACGGACATCCATGAATAAACGATACGCTTTCGAGGAACCGTGCGCCTGCATAGAGGGCAGTCGTTGACTGGAGCTGCACGACAACTGCCTGACGGGGCCAGCGCACACCAAGTACCAGTGATAAGATGACAGATGCAAACTCCAGACAAGGCCTCCCCAGGATCTGTTGCTGCCCTGGGCTCGCTGCGATAGAGGCTGCAGAAGCGCGAAGGCACCCAAAGCACAACATGCAAGGTCCCTGGCATGGATGCAACGACTCTCGCCCAAGGCTCATCAGCCTTAAGAGCTCGACGCATGCCTAAACTTGCCGTTGCTGATGTGACTGGAGTGGCGTTGTTTACGTCTCGCGCCACAGAAGGCGGCAAGTCCAGGAGTCTCAAAGCTTCGGCCCGTCGCGAGGAACCGACATCCATGCAATGCTGGTCAGTGCGACCAGCGCTTCAGCTGGCTAGCTTTTGCAATTCTTGGTGCCTGGCACTAGCACCTGGATCTTCGAGAGCGATGATACCTGACTTTGCATTGGTAGCAGCAGGACACAGGCATACCACAGCCTGCCGTGCTGTGAGCATCACACCATGTATCACAGGATCCTTGGCATGACGCTAAGGCGGTTCCAGGCACTGCCACTTACAATCAGTGCCCATGAGAGTATGCTGTTGCACACCCTTGGCTTGGGCGGCAGAAGCTGGCAGTGGAAAGGGCAGCCGCCTTGGAAGAAGTGCTCTGCAGACAAGTTGCGGAAGTAAGCTGGAGGATGCAGATGCAGGGCCGCCCCAGCATGTCCCGACAAGGTAAGCCCTGATGGTCGCGGTCATGGGCTGGACTACTTAGTGGAAGGAGGTACCAGCACATTCTGTCGCAAAGATGTGCGACCAGGAGAGATCACATGGAGTAGCAAGAGCCAGCACAAGCGACACAAAAGTGATTGCATGAAGAAACTCGCCGACCGAAACCATCCAACCAAACCAGGAAACAGCCTTTTCAGCTTGCTTGGCTTGCTACGATGATGATACAATCGCGACTCCGAGCTATACCTGCAACTCAACTGAAACTCTGTGGCCTGAAATGACAGCAATGTCTGCAGTGATGTTGCCACCAGGTTCCTTGGGTTCTCGGTGTCTGGCGCTGCGAAGGACTCGCAGTTCGCTCATTGCTGGCAGTATCTTTGGAATTTCGCCACGAGTCCACCTGTGGAAGTCCAACGAAACCCGCTCTGGCCACTCTTGGCGCCTCAGGCAGCTACGCAACAGGTCAGCCGGCTCAAATTTGCTCTTCTGCTTTGTCTGGAAAGCTGAGACCTCTGCCCACTGCAAGGGCTTCGATGCCGTGTGCCAAGCTGCCTGGCCCGCAGGGACTTGGTACCTGACGATGCAAACTCAGCAGCTGAGAAATGTGGGCTACACAATCCCGCGCCAGGAAGATTTCAGCCAATCACCTTCACTCTCCCAGCCTGCAAGCTGCGAGTACTTGGGTTCCGAAGATTCCGCCAGACCTATCCAAAGGTCCGATCTGCATCATTGATCATCATTCACGGACAGCCCGTCGTTCACATCTGCGAATCTGTGCAGTTCTCGTGTTCGGGCCAGAGCAGATACTGGGAGCTCTGCGGGAGTGGCAAAGTAACTTCCACCAGCCCGGGCGCATACGGGCTGATGACCTCACCAAATCTGATCGTATCTTCTCGAAAGGCGCAACCGGTCTACTATCACTATCTCCTCGGCTTCCTGCTGTACCTGATCCCAGGACAAGCGTTAGCATGTTCTCTTGGAAGTCCAAGGCTGCACCACCAACCTCGGCGTGTAGCTTCCGCAGACCATATCATGCGAGTGTTCGAAAATAGCCAAGTCAAGTGCTGAGTTGGCGAAGCAGGACGGTGCCTCCGCGGTCTCTCCGCCTCGCTCCACACAGCCTACATAGTACTATGGCAGCTGAGAAGGCCTGGTACAAGTACGTTTCCTCACTTCTCCAAAAAAGTACCCAAGAACTCCAAGGCGACAGCTGTTTGCAACGTTGAATTGCAGGGACGCACAAGCCTCGGTCGGGGCCCATCTGCAGCGAAGGGAATGAAGCGATTTCCCCGCCCACAATTCCCAGCAGCTGGCCGTGGCGGATCCGGCTGAGACCTGCGGAGGCACCACGAGCACAGGCTCGGAAAGCCGGGAAGCCGGAAGCCAGGGGTCGCACGCGGAAGTCCCAGGCGGCCAGCGGCAAGAAGAACAAATCCAACGATTGACCTGTGAGGCTCAAGAACCTACGCATCTGCTCAGCATCGTACAGACGCAGGGAAACGGCAAGATGCTTCGCCTTCCCGCAGCCATTGCTGTGAATCGCTTCCCGGCTCAAGCTGGAACGAAAAGCGACCCACCTTGGCTGAAGGACCAAGCAAGACTTATTATCAAGACCTCCGGCCCGGTTACACGAATAAACACCAGGACTTCCTCTCCAATCGCCATCCCGTTCTTGAACAGCCACATCACAATCATGTCGAAACTGCGGCCGCATTTTTCGCACTGTCGGCATGGAAATTCGTGAATTTTGACAGGCTCGGGCATCGCTGAGATGTAGCAAACTCCCAAACAAGAGCAGCAGTGGAAGCGTGCCTCTCTACATCTGTCAAAAGCTTTGCAGCTCACCAAGTGAGGCTTGGCCGACAGGCCGCATGTTGTCAAAACGTTATGTGGAGAGAGTCTATTGAGAATTCTCTCCGAAATATATGTACATCCTGTCCCTGCTGAGCCCTGCTGAGTAGGACTGCAGCTTCTAGCTCCAACCTGAGAAGCAAGTACACAACTGGGCACTTCGATGTTTTCTCCCTGTCACAGGTGGAAGCCGCGGGATAAAGCTCCAATGCCAGCTCTGCAATTGCTTCGGCAAAAGAGAACTTCAAGTTGGCAATATGCCTCACAATGCCACATGCAAGAAATATGTCATTCCAACTAGCAGTTTTGCACATCTGCTTTACCGTGGTGAGTTCACTGCCAGCATCGGGAGTGTGTACCCGGTTTGTACTCGACGGGACCCCAAAATTATCTTCAAAGGCATCCATATCTAGTCTATATATCAGTACATGAAGTCACGAGGGAAGTCTTGCTGTCTACACACAAACTCAGTAGATCTTGCAGAAGCGACATTTCACTTACGCAGCAACTATGACCGTCACTGCCTGAGGCATGCATTCAGAATGCATGCCATTCAAGTCTTCGGGCACAGCTACGGGAATCGTCTCACGTGCGCAGCATTGTGGAAAAGAGCAAGATCTTGCATCCATCTGTTGCCGGCTGCGGCCGGCATGCAACACGAGCCTCTCCTGAAGCAATCAAATTAGTTTCTGCAGCATGTGCAGAAACAAGGTCGCATGTCTTAGACATGCAACCTTCCCCGCTTGTAGACTGTACACCCTGCAGGCACCGCAAGATTCCTTTGAGAATGCTGGTGCGCCCCAAGCAGGTCCAACAATAGAAACAAACAGAAACGCATTGCAAACAATCGTAGAAAGAAAACTCCGGGCACTGCCAATCCATCTTCCAAATCTTGGACCCACTTTGGCATTTAGATGATTGACCGATATATCTAGCAAACGAAAATATTTTTCGGAAAAGAAGTAGACACAGGTCGACTTCTGTTTTCTCACTAAGTTTTCTCAGCATACTCAGCCTCCACCTTGACGCCGAGCAGTTGGGCCTAGGCAAAAAGGCTCTGAGACTGACAAGAAGATTGCCTCGACATTCATGTCCGGGGCTGCAGCTTAGTGGTCTTGGCAGGAACAAGCTTGGCAGGACGGCGCCTCTGCTTTGGGTACAAGATGCTGTAGTTTCTCGAAAGGGAGTTTCGACAACAAAAATCAGTTGAGAGGCCATCAGCTGAAACTTCCTTCACCTCAGCTGCGAAAGAGAAACCATCCTGTGCGGTGGGACCTGCCAGGAGCACTGCGACCTTTCCAGAACAATTCGTCATAGTTTCGACTCCTTTTGTAGCGATGTCTCATGAACCATCGACCTCAAGCCCTCCGGTGTGCAGTAGGGAGAATCGGGTATTTTCGAGGACCTTGGAAGTTTGAACGGTTGGCATGAGCACCGGGTTCGCGTACCCGTACCGCATTCATCAGACATGGCGCGACAGTGACTGTGCAGTCGTTTGCGTTCCAGTACCCAAGGGCGAGAACAAGTGCAGGGAGACATGGACAAGTCTACTGACGAGTAACTCGCATCTCTGATTCTCGGCAAACTCACGCTACATGTTACTGCTATGGTCGTCTCATGTGGTCTCCACCGCGGGCCTCTGGCGATTTCTGCTTGCGTACATGCGTTTCTCGTGAGCTATCACCAGCTATCACTTGCATTCAGGTTCCTGGTCTGCTTCAAAAGGACATCGGTGGCTCTTGCAAGTGTGGACTGGCCAATGCTAGATGTTCGCTCCAGGACCCTAAGGCTCCCGTGGAGAACCCTGCAGAGCAGTGCTTTACGGTTTGGTCATTTGCTCATTTCTCAGGCTTTTTTCAGCATCTGGCTGGTGCTCATGTTTGAAACCAGTGACCGAAGCTGCAGGGCCTTTCCTTGTCCGGACGACTGCGCTGGCCTCGAGAAGCCACGATTCTCAGCAAAGCAGCACAGCTTCTGAATGCTCAGGTGCCTTCTGCATCTGTGGGAAAGCGGTCATGGCCGCCTTGGTTAAATAGTTAAATATGTAATTAATCAGCAAAGGCTTCAGAACGAGGCTACTCTGATGCTGATCCTGGCTAGCAGAGTGTGCATTGCAAGACATGGGTGCCCGGCATAAAGGACGGACCTTCGAATCGCGCTGCTTTCTTGCGAATTTACATACAGTATAGTATAGTCCCCGCAAGGCGCATTCCAGCATTCCAGGAAAGTGTGTACGTTTGCATCATCGTGCGCTGCGCACTGGTTCTGCGGCCTTTGGGAAACTTCGACCAGGCCCGGGGCAGGCGGCACAGGAGTGACCTGCCGCAGATCATGGCAAGAGATCCAAAATCTAAATTGCATTACAGAAACTCCTAAACCGCGAACGGCCAGCTCCTAAAATTAGTGATTTGCCGTGGTGAGCTATGCTATCTCGAAAGGCTACAGTATGTGTAGAAACTTGTCTTCGGGGTCAAGCTTTTAATGTGCAAAGACTGGCTGGTTGTTGTGCTTCTCCATACTACAGGAAACCGTACACATGAATCGAACTATGTTGCCAGTGCCTGTGCCGGACGCAGACGCTCACGCGAGGGGCTGTGGCCGGGGCTGCGCCCACGCACCTCCCGAGCACGCTTTTTTCTGCTATCTCTGGACGCTAGCAAACCGTACATGTTTTAAATGAGCCCTCAAGTCTTGAACTGCCGAACGCAGATGTCGGCTTAAAGCTACATGTTGTCCGCTGCGTGACTTTCGAAAAAAATGTGCACATAGTTTCACACTTACATACGCGCTTTTTCACTCGCCAGCGTTGTTTGGCCGGGACAGACTTCAGAAGACCAATAATTCTCAGGCCTAGTCAACTTGTATTTGGGTACTCATAGGCGCACTATTATTTTATGTTGTGTAGTTCTTGCTTTCACCTGGAATAATGAATATTAGAGATTTATCTTTTATTAAAATTCACTGACGCCATATTCTGCCAATTTGGCAAAGCTACGGTGTAAATCAGGCTTCGAATAATAACCTCACAAGGTGTCACCACTTGAACACATTTTTATGCTATAGCCGATAGCCAGAACAAATAGCTTCTTATTGCCAGAAGCACATAACTTTCTCGAAAAGCCAAGCCAAATGCAGCATTGATTAGCTAGCCACTCCGATTCACAGGTGGAAGCAGCTCGACCGGATCTCTAGCAACGACTTAGATTGCGTGTCCTGGGAGCTTCGAAACCGGCGGTTTGGGACGATTGCCGAACTTGCTTCCTAGACCCTAAACCCTGTAAACTTGAAGGTAATAAGCAAAAGATGGAACACCGGACCGAACCTCGTTCGGAATCCCTGTGTGCATGGCAGAAAGCCAGCCCAAATCAACGCAACCAAAACTACAAAAACCTGACTTACAAAGACCACAAAAAAAGCAAGAACACGAAAACCACGAAACCACAAACCACTATAACCAAAAAATCAAAGAAGCAACAAATAACATGTTCTGCAAGTCTTCCGGAAGTTCCGTAGTCTGGGACTCTGGGCCCAGACTTTAGGAAACTTGCTTTTGGGGTTATGTTGGTTTGTCTTTTTTTGAATTTGTGCTTCTGGCGTTGTCTCACAGCTTTCTTATCGGTGTATTTTGGCGCAGCTTTATTTTTGAAAAGGGCATTGCTTGCTGATTCATAGTTATTAAGCTTCCGTGCGACAGTTTGCCTTGGTTGTGTTTTCACGAAAAGCAAAAGCGCAGCGGACAAGTTATTGACTTAAACAGAAACAGAAGAGGTGCTGCAAAGAGTTCGCAGAAAACTGCAGCAAAACACAAGACCTGAGCAGCTGGAGGCCTTCAACCTGGGCGGCTTCGCCGGTGGAGACCATGTGCTGCCCCAGGAGCGGCCGAGCATGCCCTGCCGCAGGGCTGCCCACCTACACCCTCGAAGTGAACGACCTAGAACAGAAGCAGCACACAAAACAGACTTAGTCAAGTCTTGGCTTTTCATCCTGGCTGGTCCGCTGCAAGCTCGAAACTGAGGAACCGCAGTGCTGTAACGTTCTGGCATGTACCTTATGCTCTTGGCCGCGGGGCCTCGGAGTCATCTGTTTCTGCAGTGTCTTGGCGCTTCAGGCGCTGGATCAGCAATTGCCTACTCAGAGACGTGAGCAGCTTAGAACTCAAGCATCATACGCACAATACCGGAAACGCAGCGGATCGAGACATGGGTTTCGATGCAATCGAGACTCCATTCATTTGGGCGTGCACAGACTCTGGAGATCGCCATGTGCACGACGATTTCGATCCTTCTCTGCATCCGAGTCACCGATCCATTTGCCTGACCTCCTGCAGGAACTGTAGCAGTGGCGCCCATGATGTTTACAGCGCTGGTCAATGTGTTAGGCTTGGCTAGTGTTTTCGGCTATAGCAGGCAGGCACGCTGCTTTGCCACCCGAGACAGGCCACGCGGGATGTAGGCTAAGTTTGGTTGCGATGATGCTAACAGTCTTAATGTTGTTTTTGCTTAAGACTTAAGAGGCATTCTCGAACGAATAGCTGCGGATGATCGGGAATATGAACATCCTTGACTACCGGTCTTTGAACGGTCCTCTGCCGCCGGCAACCGCTGCGCTTGACCCTGGCCGGTATTCTGTAACCTCAGGGGCTGTTTCACTGATGCTAGATGACGTTGGTCTTTTCTTCGAAACCGAACATCCGAGAGAAAGCATCAATGGCAAGCCATTTCGAACTCGGGGACAACAAACTTGAGGGACTGAACTGTAATCCGCCGAGTGTCGCATCGTTGGATGGCACGGTCTCTGCAGACATGACGCTCCCAAACCTCGTGAGCGGAGATAGTGGCGCAGGTCGTTTCGGACACCAAAGTCTGCATCAGCCAGAGTCCTGGGGCATAATTCGGCCAAGCTTCCCCTCAGGTGCCATGCTTGCAGGGCGGCAAGGCTCCTCGTGCAATCTCAACCATTGACATGAAACACACCACACTCCTACGAGTACATCCGGCGAAGCTACATCGGTGACGAAAGTCCTCGCCTCGGGAAAACTCAAATGATCAGGGCAGCTGCCAGCACAAGAAACACTGAGATTTCCCAGCACATCTCAACGGTAGAAGACATCAACACCATGAAGGCACAGATGGTACTGATGTTTCAGTAGAATCACCCACAAGAAAGCACCCATGAACCGAGCAATCCGAGAAACCCAAAGTGACGGAGCAAGACTCACTTTGCGAACAAGCATAGAACCAAGTTCAGACTCGCACAGCCACGCAAGGCAGACACGGATTCATGGATCGGGATTCAGAATCTTTCACGATGAACAGCGGTCGTACGTGGCTACATTTTGCCCAACAAGGGCAGGATTGGATAATACAGTCCCCACTCCCTAATCCCTGCTTGATGTGCTGCCTTTCCCGTGGCATTCCTTTTCATTTCCATGCTCTCATCTGCTCCCTCCTCTCTTGCTCGCATACCGTCGCGCTTTCTGTTGCTATCCGGACACATAAGGCATACGGCGATGCACATATGATAACTCATCGCTGCAACATGCTGCAACTGTCTCGCATCTGCTCATGCCTCTCTTGCGTTCGTACCGTCGCGCTTTCTGCTGCTATCCAACTACATACAGCATACAGCGATGCACGTATGACAACTGATCTGTCATGAGCTGGGAGAGATTCGAGAGAACACTCACGTTTCTCTGCCCATTTCCTGACTTGGTGGCTGCGCTTCTGGCAGGGGATGATTGGGATAATTTGTTCCACGTTGTTGGCTTGGACCGCGTTGACACTGCACCAGATTCAGACGCTGAACCTGTACATGTTTTGCTGCGTCGCGTTCACGATGTCTTGCATCTAGTCTAGACATCTGATAGTTGCCTTTTATTCAGTCCCAGGTGTCGCAGACGCCTCGTCGGCACGCGCAGTCAAAGAGCCCTGGCTCCAAAGCTTCTGTGCTGTCCTGCAATCAGATGATAATCAAGGCTGCTCAGCTCCTCACTGCCAGTGCTCAGCAGTCCGGCCCCGGGTCAAATTTGTCCGAGTGAAGCTCCGAGGCCGCACGCAAAAGCTGACTTACACCCGCGGCCCAATCAACAGCAAGCCTCCACCCAGATGACAGCTGCGGCTTGTCGCATGGAGACCTTTCTGGCCTACCTTGGCAACTTCGGGAGAGCCAAGAACCCCTGAAAGCCAGTAAGCATGGTGAGGATTGGCAGTACAACATGCTGAAACGTCGGCAAAGCAACATCTGCTACCCATGTGATGAGAAAGATGCCCTTCTCTCGTTGGTGTCTACGCATGGCGTGTTCGGGCTGGTGCGGGGAAACAGGGACTTTAGCGACGAGTGGCTGGGGCTCTCCGAGCCGCTGGAAGAAGCTCGCGAGGAAGCGGCGCGAGAACGCGCTCCGACCCCTGCGAGCTCTGTTTTGCCCCTCTCCCGAGTGCTATGCTCGCTGCAACCTCGAATCGCAAGTTTGGGACGCGGCCTGAAAGACGTGACAGGATGCTTTCCACACTCTCGCGTCCGTCGCTGGGCATGTCCTGCAGATATAAAGTCATTGGCTGTTGCTCCGGGCTGGTGAGATGGGGCAAGGTGCCAACTACCGAATGCCCTGCATCATGCAAACCATAGATTGAGGCAAGGCAGCCACATGGCAGAATCCTCCCCTGCATGTCTCGGTCTCATGAACTGCGATCCCGGCGACCCTGACTTACATTTGCTGTCAGCATGGAGGAGGCAGCAAACTACACTGCCATGGTCCACAACACCGATTCCACTCAGCCGCGAATCTGACCTCAGCCAGCAAGCATCTGCATGGGCACAAGTCCTGCTGCACTTCGCATCAACACCGTGCCCTGCAATGCAATATGAAGAACGACAAGAGAGGCATGAATGTTTGAAAGCCACTGTGTGAGCCCATTTTGTCGCGGGTCACTACCAATGCTTCTTTCCGAAATGCTGTGGTGTGACCAAGTCGCCGTCCACGCAAGCTGGAGTGTATGAGGTCCTGCTTTCCTAGGTCTTGAGGCATGATGCAATATGTCGGTTCATCCTCCTGCGCAGGCCGTGGCCAAAAAGGAGTCAACTAAGCAGATCACCAAAGGATAATCGCGTTGCTTCGACAAGCTGCTTGCGAAGATCATCGACCTGCACAAGACATGTGCTAACAGCAATGTTCTGTGCCTGGCAATAGGCCCGCATTGCCCATTGCGCAACCTGATCAAGCAGCAAAGAAGCATTGATCATGGACAGCTGTGCGGGCAGTCGACCACTGCAGGTACTGTACGAGGGAAGCGACGTTTCACAAGTCAAGCCAGTTTAAAGCGTAAAGAACCTTCCCAAGCCTGGTCGACAATCCGATCAAGTTGCATTTCAATCTCGTCATCTTCCATGCCAGTCACATCCTCGCGACGCTGCGCGGCCAACATTCAGTTGTCATGAACTCTGTCGTGTCTTTGTGCTTTTGATTGGGGACTCCAGCTGTTGCAATGCTGGAGTCAATCGAGATCCGTGCGAGGTGCTTCGCATGTCGTCTCGCCAGGTGCAAGCGAGCTGAACGGGGGAAAGACTGCCCACCCGCCATGTGCTCCTCGCGATTTGGCATGTTGTGGACATGCTGCCAAAGCTCCTTGGAAACGTGCAGAAGCAGATGAGCGAGTTTTCGCATGGTGTGCTGCTCACACAGCATGTGTACGACTATCACCCACAAAGGTGCAACACCGATGCAGCTTGGCTGCATCTCGGAGGCTCTGCAATGTTGTAGGACCTCGGGATCAAAGACATGCCTCTGCAGGGGCACCGACTGTGTTTACCTCCCCATGGCATCAATGGCCAGCGACTAGCGCTGGTTCCGATTAGGGTGTGAAGCAAACGACATGTTCGTCCCGGTTGCGCTTGACGGAAGGCGCCGACAATGCATCGCCTGCAAACGGCTGACTTCAAGCTTTAGGTGCAATACATGCATCGAGTTGGGCTATCTGCACGGTGTGCAATGAACCATTGTGAGACTTCCCAACCGTGTTAACCATAAACTGTAGATTGAAGCCCAAATCAAACTTAGTCAGTCCAAAGTCCAATGCTTCATGGCCTCGGGAGGCGCACCTATTGGCAAGCGTGGGTAGCAGGCCCATGGTAGATGTGACGGCATGCCCTAGTCCCTGGAAGATGGCCGTGTCCCCATGCGCAGATTCATGATGAATGGACACATCCTAACCTCAAGCCATGTCTCCGCAACATGGCTGGCCTCCTCTGGCAATTGTCGCACTTGCAGCTTCTGTGGCATCTGCTGTGCCTGACTCGGGCTCCTCTTCGCCTCGTGCTTACATCAGGTCAAAACCCGGCCACATGACAACCAGATTCAGATCGGGATGCCATCGTCAAAATTCAGGATGGCTTCACAGACCTCGGCTGCACAGCCACTTGCAAAAGATCCTGCGGCCTTCCAACATCAACGGCATACCTGCGCACTGCCTGGCACCTTCACCTGCCTGCGGCTGGCAGATCGAGACTCAGGCTGCCCACCGAAGTCTTTGGTCCAGGTCTTACCTCCACTCGAAAGTTGCTGCAAGAGTGCCAGCGCGCCAACTTCGGTCATGTCCATCATCTTCAGCCGCTGCAGGTCCATCAGAATGTCGCCGATGGTCTGACAGCTGGTCCACTCTAGAACTCTCGTCGCTGCAGAACCACGGGTAAGTAGGTGCAGATGCGAGCTTCAACTATGGGGACCAAGTGCAAGTTTAGTTTGCGACTGTGGGCCACTGCAGTGACGCAGTGCTGGCGGATTTTCCTGTCTGATTACTTTACAACTCTAAGGAGTTGGCCGGCTGTTCGGCGACACGTACTACTCGCTATACACTTCGCACTTTACAGCAGTGTCTGTGGCCTCATCCATGTCATCAGACACGTTCGCCAAGCTTCTCCGCAGAATGCCGCCAATTTCCTCAATGATTGCTTTCCTGAGAGGTTGAAAGTTAGACTCCTGGTCAAAGCATCGATGGAACGGCTAGGCTCGTTTCACTGCCAACAATGACCACGTTAGAGCTGGCAGCATCCAACCTCCTCAACTCACAAACCCCAACTGCCAAGAAAACGTCTGCTAGTAGCCAACGACAGCTAATGTAGTCCAAATGATACAATAAGCAATAAGCACAATCACATACAGGAGAGTCGCTGCAGGCAGTGTCGGTGGTAGGCCTCGTCTGCCGCCTGCCTGTCTCATTTCATTGATTCAGCTCAAGTCCGCTTGCGTCTGCTGCGCCTTGCATCGGCTCCTATTAGGAAACAGGCATGGAAAAAAGCCTGGTATTTCCTGCCTGCCCCTTAGCATTGGCTAACCATTTTAATGTCCACCAAGACCTCACCCGTTCCCAGAGAATCATCCATGGGCCAATACCATGATAACGTCCAGCCAGACCTCACCCGTCCCCCAAAGCATCCATCGGCCAACCGTGACAATGTCCACCCAGACCTCACCCGTTCGCCAGTGCACCCATGGGTGAACCGTGATATCAAACACCCAAACCTCGTCTGCTGAGAAAGGCCAGCAAAATACATTGCTGTCACTCAAAGCATCGAGCGGTGGTGGCAAACAGCACAAGCCTACCTTCCTTCGACTCTCCATGTTAAAAGAGCCCAACCCCGAGTTGTTTAGCTACCTCTTTGCGTTCGTGTGGAGGTACCAACTGCCGCTTACGCAAGACTTCATTCAGCCAGACTGCTAGCCCAAATGTCATCGTGTGTGCACGATGACCCCAGTCTGGGCGGATGTTTAGAGACTATACCCTATGCTTTCCTCATTCCGCCATTTTCCGAAGACCCAAAACCCAAGCGAAAAGCACGCTGTATGCATTTAGTCTGCAGGGTTTTTTGTGTGCCTGCGATCTCCTATTAGGGATAGTCTTTGCCCGCGAGCCTGACGATTGTCATAATGCGCTTGGAGTCCTGCAAGGCCCTGCCAGTGCCGATGCATAGTGCTCGAGCTGCATTCCAGCCTGATGTCGACGACGTGTGGATTGAAAGCTGGGGAGTGGCTGGACAGGATCATATACTGCATCATAAATACGGTATCAGCCTCCGCTTCACCAGTCTACATCCAGCCACAAAGCAGACTTAAACCTAATTGTATCATCCAGGGATGTCAGTGGTCTCCTGCAAATCCATTCATGCAAAGCTCACTGGCTGGGCTTTGGTTGAGGCACCTCGCAAGCCCTTGGCCTTGGGGTCGTTGTCGTCCTTGCGCGCCAAGCTCCGGAACATTCTCGGATTTAATGGGAAATTTGTGCGTTATGTCAGGTTTGAGCATGACCGGCCCGGAGGCGCATGGCAAGACTTAGTTATGTCAGCATTCTCTGCCTGTGTCTCTGGCTCTGGGAGTCCCAGAAGCGCCGAACGCGCTTGCGACCATGCCTTTCGGAGGAAACTCACCTGGCACGGGTGTGCAGCTGACTTGCAGTGCCAGCATTCAACCTTTTTGACCGCTGCCTTGCCGTCCTTTCGCCTTGGTACTTGCAGACTCGCCTTGGCCAGCCTTGCAGAGCATTCGGACATGCACCTGCAAGTCATACCTCATCCGACACCGAAACATGTTTGAGCTTCGGTGCCGTCGCCGCAGCTTCTGTCTCCGCTCTTCTCGTCGTTTCGGCGTCCTCAGCTCGAACACTTAGCTCGCATCGTGTGCCGAACCTGCTCGTGATTACGTTGCAGTGTCCCTGGTCCAAAACTTTGCAAGTGCTGAGATTGTGGCATTCGCCCCGACCTCAGGCCTGCGCAAGACCAACAAGCGGAGCAGAAACTTCGCTGGAAGCGAGGGTTTCCGCCTCGCTTGCCTTTTGGCGTTTGGCTTCCAGTCGGGCTGGCAGCGGCCTCTGAATATTTCTATGGGCAAAGGGACCTCTCGTCCAACCTGAAAAGGCCAAGGCACGCTACCGGACCGAGAAAACTCGCGCGTGCTGGATGCCCTCGGTGACATGCAAACATAAGCATCACACTTCCTGCAACCTGGGGCCTCCGGTGCTTTTGGGGGTCTCTAGCAATGCCTTGCTCCTGGACGCAGAATTCAAAAGAGTGAAACGCCACCGGGCCCGAACAAAACCCATGCACCCGCGTGTAGTAGCGGTCACATCAACTGCAGTAGATGACTAACAAAACATCATTCAGCAGTGAGAGCGGAAAGCCTGATCACTTGTCAACCGCACACACAAACACAGACAGACACACTCACACACACACACAAACAAACAAGAGTACTTGCAAGCTCGGGTCGAGAGGTCGCCGGTTGTCACCCGTCGACTTCCTGGACACGGGGCAAAAGAGCCCGCTTCTTCTCATCCCTTCAGAGGCCGGGCCTGCAGATGATCCGGAGGCCTCACGGCTCAGGCTTCGCCGGCGCGGCGAAGCCTGGACACGTCACCGAGATCGACACCAAATCCCTCCAGAACTCCAAGTGCTAAGACCCTTAGCAAGCTGCAACTTCAAAAGTGCAGCTTGAGAGCTGGAGATCCCACGGACGGTGTCTTCCTGGGCATGTACCACGTTCTAGTTGCGCCTGCTGCACCCATGCGATGTGCCCGACCCAGTCTGCAGGCAAGACGCTCGAACTCTACAGACCTGGTTCGATGCTTGCCTGGCTGAATTTGCAGTCAGTCGCTTCGCGTGCATGTTACTGCCCGAGAAGGAGGACCAAGCATTGCTGAGTTGCTTGCCAGGCAAAACTGACACTTCCTTGAATTCCTTGTGCCAAGCATCCGGAACGCGCTTTGCCGTCCGTGTCGGACAAGTTGCTGAGACTCCTGCTTGCCTGAGTGCAGTGTGCATTCGCTTGGCTTCGTGGCATTCGATTGTCTCCCTAAGGGAACAAGGCGAGTTTAAACTGAGGTCATTAGAAACACGCAAAGTGCGTTCACCGTTTTGTTCTCGCTCCTGAAGTCCGAGATGCCGATCGGCTACTGGCCAAAGGCTTTTTTGGATCCGCCTGTGTCGCCTGACTCGTCTCTTTCTCTCCTGGAAATGCAAAGCTTCAGCTCAAGCAGTGTTCAGGCGTCACAGCTTATAAACGTCTGCTGATCTTAAGGAAACTGCTCGTAGAAGTTGTTCCATAATGCGCTAGCAGGGTATCATGCAGTAGCACACGCGCTGTTAGCAGGACGCGCGGTTAGCAGTTCCCAGAAAGTCTGTGCCATCCCAAAGAGAAGGACAGATTGAAACAAGAAGCACATCCCATCCGGCAATGCTACAGCATCGCAAAGCCATGCTGCTCGAGTCAAGTCGATTGCAATGACTCGCAACAAAAAACCTGTCGACACAACTGTGTTGCTGCTAGGGCAACGCCACGGACACAGCATCCCAACGGTCCTCGTGCTACGTCTCTGCTGCTTGCACACAACTCCACGGGAAGCTTATTGATTGGATCCCTTCTTGCCTCCTGAACTTACTAAAATTATCCTCCACCTTACAGTCCCTCGCATTGGCGGTTCTTTTCCAATAACTGCCGTGGCTTCCTTTCTTACGAGGCTGAGGTGCTTGCTATTTCGGGGCATCGCATAACAAACAAGCAGAATAACAGGACCCATAGGCTGCATAGCTTCGCTTATAGCTTGCTCCAAGCTCCACTGCAGCGGCTGCTTTGGCGGAGAGGAGCCTGCCCCACGCCTGATCCCTCCAAAACCGTTTGATATCGGCGTACAATAGATCTCCAGACAAGGTCTGTCCCTTCTTACTCTGTGGTACAGGGTCGTTCCTAGGCATGCGGTGCCACGTGGGGCCAGAAATGATCTCACCAAGTGTCGGGACAGTGATCGCTCCGCCGATGCAGGCTTTGATCCTTTACTCTTGCCACGGGCCTGATTCCGTTGAACATTGATCATGCTGGACGCAAGGGTCTACCTGCGTGCCGGCAGCATGAGGACAAGTGATGATCAGGCACACCTCTGACAGCAGGGCACATCGAAAAAACTCTGTGCGTCCGAAAGCACACTTTTGCCAGATGCGGATCCTTTTCTTTGCTTGCGCTTCGGCATGCCCCTGGGCAAGGGCATGTAGGTTTACTTGGATTCCTGATAGATGCTGAGGGGCAGCCTCAGAATTGTGTTTGCTTTTCTCCACGTCTCGGTTCCGGCGATTGCTTATGGAAAAAAAGAAGATCATCAATAAACCTGTGGAGTTCAACAGAAGGCGAAATAAAACAAGTAGTCCAAACACACCACAACAAATTTGAGAAATCAAAAAACAATCAACACTCAGGGAGCTCTCAGGTGGAGACCGGGCGAGTAAACCGGTGTGTGGCTGAGATCAAAACCTAACAACCCCACATCGAGGGTAGGAACAATTCAAGAACACATCCCAAACAAAGATCCTACACAAACTACAGAAACCCGAAACCATGAACACATCAAACAAGTTCGAATCAAAGAAACATCTAAAGTAAATCAAGGCAAGCTACCTTCACAAATCAGCAAACACATGCACGCAACTAGGAAAATCACAAAAATCAACACAACTTTGAACAACCTGAGTAACTAAGCAAACTATGGACATCAACAAATCGTTGAATACTCAACTACCAGGCATGCCAGCGTCTAGAGTTATGATAATTATATGAGAGCAAAGCTTGTATATCGTGGATTATTTATTTCTAGGGTTTGAGTACGAGTCTAGATACGATGCCAAGGTACGATTACAGGTTCCAGTACGAATCCAAACTACGATTTGGATACGAGACCAACTACGACTGCAGGACCATGTACAGGTTCCAGTACGATTCAAACTACGATCCCAAGTGCACGTGCAAAAGGCCGAGGTTGGGGTACGGATTAGACCAGGGTTTCTTGGAGGGAAGGAGGATTTAGTTGCTCATTCTACGTAGGAGCAACAGCCAGGTCTGGGCTAGGTGTTGGGCTGGCTGCACGGGAAAGCACAGTGGGGGGGGGCACGGGTGTAGGCGCGGGCAGGCGGGGCGCAGGCGCCCATGCGGGCAGGCGGGCCGGAATCGTACTTTGCTTCGGAATCGTAGTTTTGTATTGTAAAGTACGATTTCAAGCCCCCCCCGAACCCCCCCCCCCCCCGGAATCGTACTTTGGAATCGTACTTGAAATCGGAAATCGTACTTTTACACTGCAAAACTACGATTCCGAGTACGATTCCGGAGCAAAGTACGATTCCGTGCGATTCCAGCCCCCCCCCCCCCAATTCCGGGAGTCCTGATCTGCCCCAAACCGCCCTGCCCCAACCTCCCCTGGAATGCACTTGGAATCGTACTTTGGAATCGTTAAACGTACTACGATTCCACGCACGATTCCAAGTACGATTCCATGTACAAGGCCGGAGCACAGTACGATTCCAAAGTACGATTCCAAGTATGATTCCGGAACAACTTATACATGAATCGTGCATGACTTTTTGCTCGTACCTGAAATCGTACATGAATCGTACATGACTTTGTAGCTCGTACATGAAATCGTACATGAACTTGTACTTGTGTTTCAGGATCGTATCTGGGATCGTAAAAAGTAATTCATTTGGGGGGATACAAGGATTGCTCCTATAATTATCATAAGTCTAGAGTGTTAGATAGGCCAACAAAACGAGCTGAAGTATTCAGCACAGCCGCCGTCCGTCTTCGCCATTTTGTCCAGTCGAACCTGACAGCGAGGTTTGCCCGCTTTGCCCCACGAAGACGCAGCTGGCAGGTGCCATGAAACTGAGCAGCCCATTCCCTCAACAACACGATGACAGCAACGAGGATGGGTAAAGCACTTCACCTTTGGAGTTTGTTGGGATTGCTGGTGCCTGTGGATTCTCGCCGGCCTGCCTTGAGACAGGGTGCAGTAACTCAGGCCGTGGCCTTGAGCCGCGGTATCTGTCCCATTGTCTGCCGCGGCCTGAAAATGCAGGATGTTCACAGTCGGATCTCTTGTCTTGAATGGCGCGGCAGAATACTCGAGATATGGGATTCAACACGCCCCTTCACTTTGAGCTGCAGATCTCGCAAAGCTCCCTTCATCTCAACTCTCTGAGTGCATTTCGAAACAGCCAAGTGCAGCGGCGATGCCGATCTACCCAACGAAGATGCACTAGGGGTTCGCCGCTGACTCTGCAGCCGGGGCTTCCCAAGTTTCTTGCCTTTCCGAGAGCAAGCAATCCACAAAAACAGGACAAGCATCAAGCATCTACGCTTTGCCGATGACTTCCAACATCAGTAATGTGCCTTTGGCTTTGGCAGCTGTTCTCCGCTCGGGCTCCTTGGTACATCAAGGAGCTCCTTTGCACATGCTTGTGTGTGCAGGTGTGTTTGTCTGTGTCTCTGTGTTCAGTACTTGTTGTTGCTGTGCGTAAGTATATATATGTTCATGCACATAAGTCACATGAGTATGTGCTTGGTGGCTAGGAATGCGGAATCGAAACAAGAGGCCGTAACAATACTCGATCAGCTGCAGTGGCCTGGTTCGAACCCCCCCCCCCCGAACATGTAATCTGTAATTCATACCTGGAAAGATGCTGTGCGCTGATAATAGTAGGCAGTGGTTTTTGCATGTTCACTTGTGTGACTAGACGGAAACAAACCGTGGAAGGACACCACGAGTCTGCGCACACATGCGTCTGAATTCGTGGCGAATCCGCTCAGCCGTGCCTTCTGCATTGTTCATGAGAACCCTGTAACCACTGTGTATAATTGTCTCTAACACCGGGTGGAGTTCGTTTCATTGGGGTGCAGCTAAAGTTGCATCTCCGTCAGAGTCCATGCTGACATCACCTTGCCAAGCACTGCGATATCTGGTTTTTGACGAGAAGTCCCTGTCATGTGCTCGGCAGGCAAGCGTTCTTGGCTGCTGTTCGCGGCATTGGCTACACGTGTTCCGGCGACTGAACAGACCTCGTCAGCACCACTGCTCTTGGTGCTTCGGTCGTCAGCCTAGCCAGACATGTCCAGACTGAGCACGGGACGGCCAGGGCTGGGGAGGGTCTCAAGCTCATCCAGCTCCAAAGCAAGCGAGAAACTGCCCTGCCGGGACGCTTTCCCTCTACGGCGACTACGGCCAATCCAGGTCATGACGTCAACGCATGTCTTCAGGCTCCGTGCCTTTGGCCGGCCCGAGCTGGAGATGCTACCTGACCACAGGCGTTGCACTCTTGCACCATGATGAAACCGTGCCACGGAAGAACTTGCAAAGAGCGGCGGGAAGTCAAAATCATCGAGTCCGAAGGTTCCAAGACGTCCGGTATGTCAATAATGTACTCCTGCCAGCCAGTGCAAAGATGCATCGCAGACTCGGACCTGCAGTCTGCAGTCTGCACAAAGTGCTCCTCTCGAGTGTGCTTCTGGGAGCGTGGACTTCCTCAATCTGTCGCTGATGGAGCGGGTAACTGCTCCAGGAGCCAGACGGTGCCACGATACTCAAACAACACACCCTACAGTAGCCTTCTCACATCTACTGGTTTTGACCTACATGTCTGCCATGTCTGCCATACCAGCTTTCATGTCTTTTTCTGCATGATTTTCACTTGGATCTCTGACAAAGAATTCATGATGCAAACCTCGGCCGAGGGGCCATCTCGAAATGATAGAACCCGTGCCGGCCCAGCTTGCTCCTCACCGACCATGTTGGTTCTGGTCACCTGATCAAGGAAAAACACTGGATGCAACCCTGCCGAGTCTGCCAGGTCAAGGCATGAGGAACGAGAACCCGAAAAGCCACAACAAAACCAGAATCAGCGAACCAAGTTCAACGTTTATAACGTGACAAGGCTTTCATGCGCGCACGCTTGCTGGATCTACTTTATGGGCCATGATGCAAAAGTGCCTGCCGTCCCCAATGCAGGGCCCGACGCTTCACCCCGCGCGGCGCAGCGTTCGAGACAGACAAGCTGCCTAAGCTTTGTCCAGGCTCTGATACTGGCGACAACGTCGACAACAGCGTGGAGCGCGAATTGGCCAAGCGACCTTCAGGAGACTGAACATCTTCCGGCGCGTGAACGCCCCTCAGACCGGTCACCTGATCATGCTGCTGTGCATTACAGCTGCTGCCCACACACTCTCGCGGCACAGGACATCAGCATGCAAGCCAGCGCAAACTGGAAATCGCCTGCCGCCGAACAAAGGCCGGCTTGGCTGTGCTCGGGGTGGTTGGGGTAGAGCCTGGGCACAACGCAAGTGTGGGTGACTACAGTTGTGGCAGTCAATTATCCTCTCGAGTTTAATCCATCTGCCTTGTTAGGTTGCAATCACAGCTTTGGCTTTTTGCAGCATGTTTGCCGCTGCATGGCCGTCAGTCAAGTGTCCAATGCTCAAGTCGTCTTCACCGCGTTCGCGTTGGCGGCTAAAGGTTGCCTCATCCCAGCTGAGGTCTCAAACAACTTCCAACTAGAATTGCATTGCGCGGGCAAGCAACGTATTCGGGCGAGCGGCTTGGCGAGATAAATTCGGCCGGCCAATACGAGGGTGCTGCCTGCCTGAACTGCAGGGAGCACAGGAAAAGCAGCCAGACTGCACAAAGACTAGTCTCATCCGGATTAAACAAAAAACAAGCAACTCGGCTGCGACCTTAATCTGCTAACAAGCAAGGTTTAACAATCTTCCGACCCAGATCTGAATGCTAAATACCTCTATGTTCGTGCAGAATTGTTCAGTCACAATCTTCAAGATGGCATCCCGCCGTCAAAGCAGAAGTCCATGAGGTCCGTCGAATGCTCAGGGCTCCGGACCTCGGCCTCACAGCTTCGCGTTCTGTGAAGATGCATCGAGTTCCTTGACGTGATGCTACGTCGGCCTCCGTCTCATGGTGGAGACGGCGGACTGTAGCCTGACCGCAAATCTCTACTAAACCGAAGGACATAAAGAGAGTTGTTACGAGAGGAGTTGTCGGGCCTTATTCAGAATCATTCAACAAATCTGAAACCTTCGGCAGATGTTCACGGCTCCTGCCGCCTGGTTTCTCTCGGATCTGAGGATCTCACTGAAAGCAAGGCAGGGCAGTACAGTAGACACCACGTGCTACATATATATATGTATGTATGTAT